TTAAACTCACCCTGTATATGTATAGCGCACTTACTGGCTTAGCTAAAAATGCTATTATTGTTTTAATTAAAACCAGAGTTTTTAAATTTTCGTTTCCCTCAATGGATGTCCTCTCTCGACAACTCTATATTCTCTGATCATTGAATGTGGTCATGATTTGACTCTATATGTGGTCTGCAATCCATGATTTTGATTAGTATTTGTTACCTGTCTAATTTGTAGTTAGTTATCTTAATTTTTTTCCTTTTTTATAATTTTCTGTTTCATTGGTGATATATCTAGATTTTTATTTCTGTATATTTTTTTCAACAGAGCTATAATCATTTGTGCATTAACTACATGGGTCATTAAATTAAAATCAAACAACATACTTTAGGGTCATTATGACCGGATGTCAAACAAATAACGCTAAGGTAGAGTTGAATGCACTATGGTTAGTTAAATCTAACAACTAACAACAATGAATCTTAATAACACAAGATGATGTTTATTATACAATATTGTTCTAGATAACACTAAGCCTTGTCAATTTTTCATTCATAGTAGACACAGTCCATTTTCTTAAGGAGAACAATATTAGTCTTATCTTCTATTTCTTATGTTATAAATAATAATAATAATATATAAATTTTTATATTTTGCTATTTTTCTAGGTAAATTTAAAACGAAATAACTTCTGTAGGTATTATAATTATTATACATTTTATACTTTTTAATTAATAAAAGTTGTTTTACTATTTATGTTAATTAATAATTAATGTTTATCCTTTTTTGATATGTTAATTGTTACATAAATACTACAACAAAACATCAAACTAGTGCTAGTAAATTACTACTAGATTTAAACTCTTTTATACAAAATAGCACCAGGTTTTTTTTTCCTATATTCTAAAATAAAACTCTCTATATTAATATACAGATAGTAAAAAACGGTATCAGAGTTGGCAGTGCCGTAGCTACACCTCCGGTAACCCCCGCTAACTTGGAGGCTCTCTTATATAGAGCTATTCAAATGAGCGCCGGTCGACCGGGTAAAAATTGACATTTTTTTTGCCAGGGTCTAATGCCGGAAGTTACAGGGGAGCCCAAAATCTGTAGTTACGCCACTGAGAGTCGGCTTGGACATGAAAATCGTTGTTATTTTATATGTAAAATTATAAAGTGAATGTTATCGATCTTAATTTCCAAGCCAATTCTGACGTCGTTTATTTTTCGATTATACGTTATTTTGAGTTATCTTTCTTGATTTTTCCTTTGGGTTTTCTAAATTAAACAAAAATCTCTAGCAAGTTTGGTCTGCTGACCTGTACCTACCGGGTGTTTCTCAGAAGCGGCTCACCCCCTATAGATTTTTTAATTTGCGTCTATTTCTCTATAAATAAACAAGATTTGGTAGGTCAGTGTATGACATAAATCAGAATTGATTGATGTATTCAATTGTTTTCGGTCGCTTCCTCTATCACCGGAAATGACTACTTCTATCAATATTTCTATCAAATGAAGTAAAAAATACCGAGGGTGTCATTTAAAAATGACCGAAAATAATTGAGAACGTCCATCAATCCTAATTTATCATATACTATGTAAATGTACCAAATCTCGTTATTTTATCTGAAAAAGTATTAAAGTTATAGGTGTGAGCCACTTTTGAAAAACACCCGGTATAATTAAATTTATCTCTGATAGGGTGATATGAGGATTTCATATCATGATTAATTTATTATTATTTATAACAAGAAAATAGCGTGAATCCCCGTAATTATATATTTTTTTGTTATTATTAATACAATATGATGAAAAAAAAAACGGTGTCAGCTGTGGCTATAAAATGAAGATCGCTGTCATTTTATATGTAAAATTATATGGGAGATGTAATCGATCGTCATTCTCAAACCGTTTTTTTTTCGATCCTATGATATTTCAAATAATTATGCAAATATAATTACTAATTTTTTAAAAAGTACTTTTAAGCAAACAAGCACATGAGTTAGTTGAGGTAAAATTTATAATTTCATGTTTATTACAGCAATCAAAATCAATTTTTTATGAATATAAGTTAGAGGTGTTTTAGGGTTTTTAAAATACATACGTAATTTATAACTTTATTTTTCGGAACTTTTGAAAAAATGTCTCATGACACTCGTATATTTATGGGTGTCATGCGATATTTAAACCAGGTGTTCTAGAAAGGTCTGTAAATAATCCTATCAAAAATTCTCTAGCTGTACGTAAATATATTTGAATTATTTTCCTTGGTACTATAGTAGACAATTATGACAATGCACAGAATGCACAGCGTCAATATTAATATATTTTCAAATTCTTTTGGTGGTTACTGATTTTTCGGAATTTCTTTTTTAGAATTATAATTCACCAAAGCAAAGTGAATCTAATCAAATCAACTATTAATACAATAACTTTTCTTTACTGTCCTGCAATAAATCAATTTTAAACAAAATTAAAAGCATCAATTTTCAAAATAAAAATACTTGTTGCAATGGCTATGTGAAAGGACAGTTGAATCCACGGATCTTTGCGTGCACGTCGTCCTTAGTTTTTTAACTTTAGCTCCGACAAATATTTTTTTAACCTTAGCTCCGACCATATGTCGGACTGATTCTTTAAGATGGAAAGAGAGTGTATAAATAGCTAGTTAATTGGATGTGTTAATCAAAGTTTTGTGACGTGCACCCAAAGATCTATTGATTCAACTGTATGTTCTTTTTTTCTCTAGGATTTAAACGATTTAAAAAAATGTATTTGTATGATTCAAGGATGAGAGGTTTATTTTTTTATAATTTTTGTTATTTTAGACTATTTAATTGTCAGGGGGTGAAATAAAACACTAGTGAAACTGAGTTTTAATCATTTGCTGATGATGCTAACATAACTATGTTAGGTTAGGTTAGGATAACTATCGAAACGCTCGTCCACTGTAAAAGTAAAGGTATTTTGGTGTATGTGGTGAATTCGTGTTTTATTTTGTTGTTGTAACACCAAAGGTTATCCTCAAAAAGGAAATACCACTCCTTCAACTTCCAGTTGGATGATATGCCAAGAATGTACAACTTTGAGAAACATCTCAATGTAGTATTGAGCAATAAAAAGGATTGGAAGAGAGAAACGTCTGCTCAGCAGTTAAAGACCACACCATAACTTGGTATACTGATATCTTATCTGATAGTCAAGCCAGCGTTAAAAGCGATCAACTCAGTAACAATCAATTCGAAATTGGTCAAAGATTGCATAGAGAAGCTGAATAAATTAGGCAAAGAAAACAAAGTCCTCCTACTCTGGGTGCCTGCTAACCAAGGGATAGAAGGCAATAAAAAAGCAAATGATCTAGATAGAAAAGGAGGGAACACTCCAGTAACTGGACCAGAACCGTTCTGCTTCCCAAGTGGTAACCAACTAAAGGCGGAAGTCAAGAACTTGGAAGACTCCATCTGCAACCTGGAATGGGAATCTTGCAACGGTTTAAGACACTCGAAGAAGTTTCTGAGGGCTTACGACCAAGAAAAATCAAAGATCTTCCAGGAGTTAAGTAAGAACAATCTTCGGATTGTCACGGGATTTTTAACAGAACACTGTCTCCTCACTGAACACCTCAGTAGATTGAAACTAAGAAGAAACGGCGAATGCAGATTCTGTGGAGATGGGGAGACACCACAACACCTCATCACTGAGTGCGCCGAGACGACACCCATTCGTGCCATGAACTTTGGTACGACTGATATTGGAAATGGAGAACTACCTTCTGTAAAACCGTCCCAGATACTGGCTTTTGTCAAAGCCCTGGGACTGTATGATGAGTTGTAACTCAAGAAAGGGGGATACAATATATCTGTAAGGTCGCAGTGATTAACCCCCCTCCCACTCATTCTAAATTATAAAAATTCTAACACCAAAGGTTCCAACCCCCCAACTGTAATGTCAGAGGTTAATGACAAATTACTGCATTACAATAACTATTTTTTTTAGATTTATTACATCTACTGGCAAGAATTTATTTTTTGAGAATATTCTTACTCGAAAATTTGTATAGAATATAGAAGTGTAATTGAATTTAGAATTTTTTGCTTTGATAGTTTTTGATACATCATCATTTAATCTAATTTTATAATATGCAGGTTGGTCCGAATTGTATTCTGGAAACTTTGCCAGCATATTCTGCAGATAAAAATAAGTAAAAAAGTTTGGTTTGGTCCATAAGTGTATCTCCGAATGGAATCATTTTAGGACATACATTTATACTAATTTTTTTACTTATTTTTATCTGCAAAATCTACAGAATCTTCGGACCCCTTGTATTTCTTTTTTAAGAAATTTTGAAATTGAAAAAAAAATTGATTGATTTTGATTTGACGCAGGCGCCGGTTCTTGCTAATTGTGATGACACAACATTTTTATCAATGGATATGTTACAGAAAAATATGTAAAACCGCCCTTTAATAGTAATGACCTTAGGTTGGACTTTGTTGTTACTGACAGGTCATTAAGGTAAAAATCGAAAAGTTTTATCAAAGTTGCAACATATCTGTTGCATTATTGTCTGTTACAGTAGGCAGTCCCGAAAAATCCTATACATCATTGTCCGTTTCAGATACAGAATGATTGACACTCAGACCACTCACACTCAGACCTCAGAGCAGGTGGCCTGAGGTTTCATATATTTTTCCTCTCAAACTGAAAACTGTTCTAATATTCCTATATTTGAATATGTGACAGTATATTAACAATGTAATAAACCCGCAAACATTTGATTTAGGTGTATTGAAAAATCAAATGAATTTTTGTTAAGTTATTATTATCTCCTGGTATACCGTGCCCCATATAATACATATAAGCGATTATACGGATTGCACATTATATCAGTTTATCACCTTCAGCCGGTTTATTGAAGCAATTACACACGGATTATCTCAAAACATCACGCATATCTTTTACAAACATACCTAACACATTCTCGCTCTCAGTTTTTTACCTTTTTTTCCATACAGACTCAAGAAATGGCCGAGTACATCGACTACGGCTGGAGAAACGGGGATATAATCAGCAACGATTTCAACAAGACCCACTACAAGAACATTACTTCAGCAGATCGAGACATTGCTATCAATGCCCTGAGAGGTTTGTTGAAGAAAAGTGAGGATTACGAAATCAGGAACTACGCTGAACAGGATGACAAGACGTTGCAGAAGTTTCTATTCGCCAGGAAATTTGTGCTGGAGGATAGTTTCGAGCTGATCAAGAGTTACTACGCTTACAGGAAACGGAATCCGGATATTTTTAGAGGACTCAGTTTGGAATCGTCTGACATAAGAAAGGCTTTGGAAAATGGTGAGTATATTTAATAATAAAATAACTTTAGTATTTTGATGAGCATACAGGGTGATTTTTAAAAGGCGCCCACTCCAATAAATTTAAAAGAACTGTATTGAGAAGTGTATGATATAAATATGGATTGATAAACGTGTTAAATTAGTTTCGTTCTCCTGTTTCACCGGAAATTACTACAACCTTTGATTTTTAAATGGCATCCTCAATACATTTTAATAGAAAATTATATTCTGAATAGAACTTTGAATAAGAAAACTAAGGAAGGAGCATATCAAAAATCTTAGGTCCACCGCGATATGCCTCAAATATGGCCGACTGAAATTCCGGTTTATCAGTGCCTTTCTAATTTTATTTAAAAAATGTAAAACTATGATGTAGGGTAGACGTGGGGTAGACTCAATAATATGTTGTTTTATTTGACGTTCTGAATAAATGTTGGTAGTTATTAAAATTGTTACAAAAATATATAATTCTAATAAAAATAGATATAAGTTATAATAATTATTTATTAACACAAACATCCGATACGCTACTGAAGCAGGTAAATCTGGTAAATCAAATTGACGTATCTAAATTCTTTGACATCTAATCTTTGACAAGTAGTAAATAAAAGCAAACATGCAAGAAAAAATATGTAATTAGTTAATTTAAGCGAATTTCATAAATGATCGGTTATTACACGTATGTATATTATATAGTCACTTACTAGCGAAAAGTTGTTCTATTATTTCACTCGATTTTTGCCGAGATCTACACCGCATGCTACACAACCAACTATTTTAGAGACTTTTTCGATAAACCGCGATAGTGTCACTGTTAATTTAAGTTCTGCCACAATTTCCATCTAGATTTACTACCTTTATACAACTATCAGTAGTAGAATAAATAATAAATAACATAAAATAAGCTCCGTAAAGACTGACAAATTTATAAAATTTAAAATCAAATTCAAATGTGTCAAATAAATAACGTACCGCACACAAAAAAAGACTAAATAAGAAATGATGCAAGGGCATGTAATGGGGTAAGGGAGCAGGGAAGCGAGGGGCATGTTGAAATTTGTTTGTTTAGGCTTTAAAATGTGTGGTCGCCGCACGGAGAAAAGGGAACTACATTGTACTTATTTATGGAGACGAGACCTATATAATATATCATATGTGGTATAACAAACTTAAAAAAGTAGTATTTTAAATTTCAATCTATAGTGCCATTTCCATGAAAGTATCGACAATTTGGCTCAAAAAACCATGTATGTGGCACCAAATTATACTTAAAAAAATGATTTTTCCAAATATGGTAATGAGCGACTCTCGTTCCGTTTGAAAATATTGAGTTGTGATTAAAAAATACGATTTTGGCCATCTTTTAACCGGCCAGGAAAATATATAAAATACATTAAACGATTAGATTTATTTTTCCAAAGCTCCTTGATTAAAAATTAGTGGTTTTAATACAGCTATGGCCATAGAGATTGAAATTTAAAATACAATTTTTTTAACCGAAAATGTCAAAAGTTTACATATGATATGTCATTCTATTCAGAATGTCATTGTTGTCATAAGTTGTAGTCATGTCCGGTGAAACAGGAAGAGACCGAAAGTTATTGAATATATCAAACAATACAGTCGATCATGTCATATACTAAAATAGCGAGTTTCGTTTTTTGATCTGAATAAATAAATAATATATTGTGGTAAGCCATTTTTGAAAGACGCCCGTTAAAAATAAGTCGTAATTATTCGAAACTGTAATCTTTAATGTAACTCTCTAGTTCAACACAAATTTGTTCAGCTAACACATGGGTGCCAAAAAAGGGTGAATCAAATTCAGGTGGAGATTATCTGCGACTTATGCGTGTTCAAAGTTTACAGTAAAAGAGTAAAGGACACTAACTTTATTCACAAATTTGAACAGCTTTGAACAGCACAACAAACATCTAGAATTTTTATTCAAACAGAAAACTCAATAAAAAATATTTAAACTTTTTTTGGGGTATTTTCTATTCCGCCCAGGATGTGCAAGTGCAACACATCAGCTTAAAACGGGATAAATCTTCTATGTTTATTTGATTACTTAAAAAGCGTTAGTTTTCAGTAAATAGTTGTAACAATTTTGTGTGTTCTTACTATTATATTTAATAAAAAAGGGATAAACTAAAGCAATTAACAAAGCAACACCCAAATTAGTTTTGAAGTCAAAGCACACCTATTTCTAATATCATGAATCAAACAATGCTGGGGAATGTTAAAATCGATGATAATTTTGACGACGTCAGTTTTTAGACGTCATTTACTAAAAATTGACATATAATAATAATAATAGCTCCCGTATATAGCGTATCACGCCTTGGTTTGGCATGCATTTGCTTATTACTCGCGGCAAGAGCTTTTTGGTTGAAATATGGCAACCTCGGACGGGACGAAAAACCCTATAAGTGCATGCGTTCTCAATAGGCAGTGTTGCCATTCTGTTCTCCTATAAGTAACTGTCCAGTTAACAACCTGTATAAGGAAGGTAATGTGGCTAGCACTACGCTTCAACCGCCTGTTATTACCTCAGGATTGTGAATCCCAAGTACTCATTTAAGGCTGAGTCAACTTAGGTACCCAAAATTGATATAAACCTAATTATTATAGAAAGATTAAAAAAGGATAGAATATTTTTTCTCGAATTACACCATTTAAAAATCATTTTTACTCAATTTAAAAATAAATTTCAACTTTCTTAAGGCCATTTAACGCCGTTTTTTTTTGATCATATATTCGTTTACGTTTATTAATTTTAACTAAACTGCCACTGATTTTGCGGCATTTTGCTTATAACATGTATACGAATTTTAGTAACGATTTTTAAATCAATTAATAATTTATTTATTGATACAATTTCTATTTTTTTATTTTCTAACAAGTTTCAATAATTATACAAGTCAATAGGAATATTTACTGCTTTTCCTAAAAAGAAAACGAAAAATTTTTAGTGAAATATTCCGTTGTTACTCATTAAACTAAACATATTGTTTTCAAATTAATATAAAATTTTGTAACAAAGTACATTATTGGTACGATATAGGTCATTTTTAATTAACAGATTGGTAAAAACGTTTTACTATCGTAAAAGAAACTAATAGTATTATTCAGCATTGTAAAAATTGGTGTTTTCTAATATATCATTGTTTTTTTTTTATTATTATTATTTCGCTTGACCCGATTATTTTTTTGGATTAGTTTGTATTTAGAGACTTGCTCAGTTTATGCGGATACTTAAATTAATTGTAATTTTAAATTAAATCTTTTTATTATTATTTGTTATTATTTTTCAGTACCTAGATCTTATTTATTCAGAAATAATTATTAGTGAATCATTTAAACCCATTTTTGTGTTTTTTTTTTATTTAGATTTGTTTCATTATTTGAATATTTTTATCTATACCGGGTGCGTCTCGGAAGTGGCTCATCCCTATAATTTTTTTCAGATAAAAAAGGAAATCTGGTATGTTAGTATATGACATAAATTAGTATTGATTGACGTATTCAATTGTTTTTGGTCACTTCCTGTTTCACCGGAAATGACTACAACTTTTGACTTTTAAATGGCACCCTCGGTATATTTCTACTTTATTCGAAAGAAAACGACATTCTGAGTAGAATGACATATCATATGTCAACTTTTAACGTTTTTTGCTTAAAAAAAATCATATAAATTTCAATCTAGAGTGCCATGGCTGTGTTAAAAATGCTAATTTTTAATCAAGGAGCTTTGAAAAAATAGATTTGATTGTTTAATGTTTTTCGTGTCTTGTCCCTGGCCTGTTAAAAGATATCCATTTTATATTTTTAATTATATCTCAATTTTTTCAAATGGAACAAGGGTGGTTCATTATCATATTAGGAAAAAGCATTTTCTTACGAATAATTTGGTACCATACGCTTGGTATTTCGAGTCAAATTGTTGTTATGAACAGCATGTTACAATTTCAAATAAAGCATATGCAAAAATGTCAAAAGTTGACATATGATAAGTCATTCTATTAAGAGTGTCATTTTCTATCGAATAAAGTAGAAATATATTAGAGTGCCATTTAAAAATCAAAAGTTGTCGTCATTTCCGGCGAAACAGGAAGTGACCAAAAACAATTGAATACGTCAATTAATCCTGATTTATGTCATATACTAACAAACCAAATCTCGTTTTTTATCTGAAAAATTGATAAAGTTATAGAGGTGAGCCACTTTTAAGACCCACCCGGTATTTTTACTGATATTTGAAATATATAGAAACAAAAGGGACAGAAACAAATTAAAAAATATCTTATTTAATAACCCTTTTATATATTTATGACGTTTTCAATAAAAAAAATCTTATATTTTGTCGTTTACTGTATCGCGTACAAATTTGTTAATACTTAAATGTCAACAATATAAATTTTTAAATTCAGGTTTACCAGGTGTACTAAAGGACAAAGATCGTAAAGGCCGATGCGTCTTGCTTCTGACCGGAAACAACTGGGATTGCACCAGCTACAGTTTACTGAGCATATACAGGGCGATGCTGTTCTCCTTGGAACAGCTCACCAACGAAATGCACAACCAAGCCAACGGATTCGTGGTCATCGTCGACTGGACCGAGTTTTCTTACAAACAGACGCTCTGTCTAAAACCTGCTGTCTTGAGATTGATGATTGAAGGATTACAGGTAAAATATACAGGGTATTTCAAATTCGGCTTTCTCCAAATGGATCTCGGAAACGGTAAAAGATACAGGGTGGTTTAAATTGGGGCAAAGTTTCTTGTTAGTGAGCCAAATGATAATCAGTTTAGTAAATGAATTTATTACAGTTGGGGGATGGAATTTTTGATATTACAACAGCAAAATAAAAAAAATATATATAATTCACCACAATACACCAAAATACTTTACATTTGCACTAGACGCCTGAGATTAAAACTAAGTAACTTTAAATTTTTAATGAAATATGAAATATGTATTGGTGGAGTAACCATTGCAGAGACTTTTACCTCGGAATTCAATATTACTGTGAATGTACCGTATGATCGAGAAAAAACGGCGTCAGCGTTGGCTATGAAATGAAGATCGCTGTCATTTTATATGTAAATTTATATGGGAAATGTCATCGATCGTCATTTCCCAGCCAACTGGACGCCATTTTTTTTCGATTATACGGTATTAATGTGAAACCTTCTGTATTGTGTTTTATAGATAAAATACTAAAATGTTTACTCATTTTTTTTTCGTTGCTTTTAATTTTTATGTTAGTAATTTTAGTAAATTTCTTAGTTACCTATTTCCTTCTTAATTTTTTGATTTTTAATTTTTTTCCTAAGTAAATTTATTGAATTAAATAAATCTAATGCATAAGCTATACCAATTCTGCTTATCTTCTAATCATTGATATTTTGATTGAAATCGAATTATACAGGGTGACGCGTCAAGTACGACGCGGTTTTTGCAAAGACAACAGAAGTTTCTCGAACATCCTTTCTCGATATTTTGTTTTTTGGTTCATCTCAATAACTTTATTTTTGTTGGAGATATTCGCTTTTGATGAAGTTAATATAATATAAATATAGGTATAAAAATCAGAGTCTTCTAATTTTTTTCTTCCTATTTTTTTATCATTAATTATTTCTTCATAATGTCGTTATTATTTAATGATTATTTCTATGCCTATTATGACCACATTCTCGAGTATTTGTGTTAAAAAGTTGGTAGAATTTTAAAATTCTAACAGATAATGAAACTACTTGGAAAATTATTCTTAAAATTATTCTTGTTTAAAGCCTATGTACCTACTTCTTACGTATTAAATTAAAACAATAAGGGTGAGATGTGAGGATATATGTATATGAATTTCTTGTTTTCAGGATTGTTTTCCAGCAAGATTTAAAGGTATACATTTTATTGGCCAACCATGGTATGTAGACGCCGCTTTAGCTGTAACCAAACCTTTTTTAAAAGAAGAAATTAAAGAAAGAATATTTAGCCATGGTAATAACTTGAGTACTTTGCACGAGGAAGTTCATAAGTGAGTATTATTCACAAAAATAAACGGTGTCAAGTTGGCTTGGAAATGACGACCCATGCATGACATTTTCATAAGGGAAATTAGAATAACTTTCGTTGCACATCATAATACGATCACCAGCAAACTCCATAAGACGACGCATATGGTGTCATTGATGACGTACAACAAAAGTTGTTTCAATTTCCCTACTTCATTTCCCAGCAAAGTCTGACTCCGTTTTTTATTGTATGTTATACTGTGTGTTTCTATGTAAGATTAAATATTAAAATATTAAAGGAGTGCGTAATCCAATATAAATATTTGAGTTTATAAAGTCATTTAAGAGTCTGTCCAACGAGGATGTCTCTGAAAGTGACAGTTATTGTCTGTCATTTTAATTCAAAGATAAATTGTATTTCCTGTCATTTTTTGAATGTTGTATATTATGAATGTTGTCTGTCGAAATTTTTCTAGACTCGTTGGATAGACTTCAATAATAAACTCAACATATTTTCAATGATTAAATAATCATTGAAAATATATAACTATCTAGAAGTAGAAGACTCCCTATATATATACATAGTCCCAGTCATAATACATGTATCTGTAAAATATTGCCAGGTTTTGCTAGATATTGCCAGTATATGGTATTTTGTTTTATGACTATTTTGTAACTCAACAACTTTTTTTTTATTTTAGAGATATTTTACCAGCCGAATTAGGAGGTGAAAAACCAAGCTACAATCCCGGATCTTTCTTAGAATTATTAGAAGAAAAGAATAAAATTAACTCTTGAACAGAATCTCACCTTTCCATTGAATGACAAATACGTATATGATAAGACTCTCTTTTACTGAATTGACACTGTAAGTCAACTTAATGCAAGATATACTCTATAATTTCAAGTAGCTTAATTAATCAATGATTTTTGCGCACGAATTAACATCTACATATACTAAGATGTAGATAGATGAGGTCAAGTTACATGCAGAAGACTGATTATTTATATTGTTAAAGCTTAAACATAAGTGGTTATTAAATATGTGATGAACTTGTGATTGTTGTTTTATTTTATAAATGCCCTATTTTTGTTTAATAAGAAACAGGATTATCTGAGGGTGAGTGTTATAAGACTCTACGATAATCATATTACAGCCTAATTGTATGCTTGTTTGAAGACCGACGATATTCAAATGGGATTCAAAATATAGCCAAATTTAAACTTACTATGATTATGTTTAATCGTTATGCAACCAAATATACAGCTTTTAAGGATAATGATTACGATTGGATTACGAAAATAAAAATAACCTTACTTAATCAAAACCTTGAAATGTCAGTGAATGCTCAATAATCTATTATTTTTTTAATTAGGTAAATGTATCTGAATATTAAATTGCTGAGTCTCGGTGCAAAGTACAAAAGATTCTTAATAATCTTTAAGAGATCGTAAATTATAAGCTAGTTTATGTCTGTCTATTGGCCCAAAGTGTACAAGTAAACATGGGTATAGGGAAAATAGGGCATTTTATTATTGCAGCACACTTCTGGTTTGGGTGTTATTATGATTGGAATTATGTAAAAATACCAGCTGAATTATTTGACATGGGAGACTCGAAATTAAACAGTAAAAAGCTAAAGTTTTTAACATACTGGGATGCAGTGAGTCCATTTAAAATATAGTAATAGGTGTATGTAATTTTAAAACTGTATTTTTCAGCTTCTCCAGTCAACTTTTTTTACAATTTGTTTCTTAAATGATATATTCGGTACAAATGAAAACTTCCCAAAGAAAATCCCTTTTATAAGAAAGCTCAAAGATATTGTAGGTATTCTCTTTATAAAACATTATGTTGATTTATGTTGTGTTAATTTGAAAATATTGTTTTCCTTTTACAGCTCTTACCTGCATTGGCATTCCCCATTTCAATGTTTGTAGGGATTACCTTTTGGGGGCTTTATGTAATCGATAGAGAACTGGTATTTCCACGAGCTATAGACCCATATTTCCCTTGGTGGCTGAACCATCTAATGCACACCAATATCGTGTTGTTTTCAATCACTGAAATGTTTACCTCATATAGGAAATATCCAGGAAGAAAAATTGGATTTTCGATTGTAACTACATTTATGGTAACATATTTAATATGGATTCACATTTTAAATTCCTATACAAATCGCTGGGTATACCCTGTATTAGAAGTGTTAAATTTGCCTGGAAGAATAGCGTTTTTTGCGTTTTGTCTTGTTCTAGTGATCGGATTATATATTGTAGGGGAAAAACTAAATAGTTTAAGATGGGGCACTACGCTAACGTCAAAGAAAAAGTAATTATAATACTTTTCAAAAATTTTGATACATAAATAGTAATACAGTAAGGAAGTGTGAAAATAATGCAATAATTTATAAGTGTACTTTGAAATTTATATAATTTATATTAGTTAATAATATAAAGTATTGTCATATTGTACCTAATCCATCCATAGGTGTTAAATTGTTATATTGGCCTATACAAGTCATTTTTATGAGAAAAAACATGTCAGAAGTACAAGAAATTATTGAGCTTTAAGATAATTTGATAACCATTTTTGTACATGTGTAGCTGTGATTTATATATATTTCTAAATGTTTAATTATATATAATGAAATGACAAAAATTATTGTTTTAAGAAAGGAGAGGGGAACAACTTTTTATTAATTAATGACATTTTGTAGTACCCCCTCTATTCATCTAGTCGATATTGTAGCACTTACTTTTAGAAAATTGTAGAGTAATTGTTAAGTCATTTTGAGATAAAATGAACAAGTAAATTTAAATATTAATCTCTCTCTATTTAAATTTTTTGTTATAACATTCCAGTACTTCAATAAACAGACATATTATATAGTGAAAACCCTTGTTTCATTTTATTACTTTTTGATAGTTAAGAATAGAAAAATTAAAGACCTCATTTCTTAATATTATTTATTAAAACTTATATCAGAAAACAAGTTATTTCTTGCTTGCTAAAATTATACCGTCATATTTCTGTTGGAACCATTTCATGGCATCCTCTTTAGTCAAACGATGTGGGAAACCAACTTTTCCTTGTTTCCTACGTCTGTGAGCTACATTGAATCCGGGTCTGCCCAATACAACGTAGAAATCTAAACCATAGATACCAATGCTTGGGTCATATTTGATACCCAAGTCAATGTGTTCTTGGATACCAAATCCAAAGTTACCAGATGCTAAAATAAAAACAAGTTCAGATATATAGCTATGCTTAAAAACAATGTTACAATATATTATAAGCTTAGAAATTAAATTTACCTGAGAAATTGTCCCTTCTCAATTCATATTCTCTAACTTTTAAACCTCTTTCTAAAATTTCTTCTGCCTTGGCACCTCTAACCGTACAATGGACAGCAATTTTTTCATTACGACGAATACCAAAAGATCTTACAGTGTATCTTGCTTTAGAGAAAACAGGTTGTTGACCTGTAAGTTGCTCTAATACCTAAAATAGTAAATTTTGATTAACCGAGTGAATAAAGTTACTGTTAATTGTATTGTTTACCTTAGCAGCTCTTGTGAGTCTGTCACCACTTTCTCCCACACAGATATTCAAGCATAATTTGCGAATATGCAAGTCTCTCATAACATTTTTGGATTTATCCTTAACATCCTTTTTCTCCTTCTTTGCTGCTACGGGCTATAATAACATTGTTAATAGGTTATAAATAAAACATAAAAACATATAATAGGAAACAATACTGGTTAAAGCATCTCATAATGTACACAATTTGTTGAAAAGTCTTCAAAATATGTTAAACAGTAAAAACTTTGAAGTAAAGCAAGAGTTCTTAATTTAAATTTTTCATCACTCTATTATTCTTAAACTAATAACATATACCAAAAAATATGTATGGGAATTTATAAGGAAAATTTATTAAAGTAATTTCCCATCAAATTAAAAGTGGATTTTACAAACACTATTCAGATGATTTAAAAATTTGTTTCACAAAAATATTTGAAAAATACTCACCGCCATGGTTCACTTTTGAAGGGTGATGTCAAATGTCAACAACAAAAACGTTGCCGGATTGCCGGCTTATGTCAAACGGGAATCAATATCCTGATATATATTTTTTTCCTCCTAGTGTGCTTTACCTTTAAAATATCTGCTAATATTTATTTTCTCTACCACATAAATTAAATATATTATTATATTATATTCTTTCTTGTATATTAAAACCTAATTTAAAATTTTAACGAATGCAAAAGTAGAGAAATAACATTGGCGACGCTGCATATCGGTAAAACAGATTTTGATTTTACCGGTTTCATTCCGTTTCCAAGAGAGGGAAAGTTTGATTGATAAATATTTTGCATATTTTTAAAAAAGTATTATTTCTTTTCTATTATATACATTTAGAATAAAATGTTGGGCGATATAGACGAAACTTCAAATGCAGAACAATTATTAGAACCTCAGATAACATCCTCAGATCCAAATGAAAGAAAATTGGCGAGAAGATTACGTATTGAGCGACGATGGGAAGCAGTAAAAAAGAGGTAAAAATATAAAATATTACAAAATTAATATTTAAAGTGCTGGTTTTATAGTTAATAACATTTTGTAGTAAACAGGGTGACTATGACTCAGAAATTTCAACGGAAGAACTGACACCTGTTCAAATACAATTACAAAAAAGCGCAGAAATTTTACAAAAATTTTTAATCGAAGGTAGTTTTTAAATAAAATAATTAAATATATTTTTCTATACTAATAATAATATTATTACAGGAGAAGAATATATTACTAATGTTAGAATAGCTAATGATTCAAGGGAAGTTGATAGAAGAGAGAACGAAGGTATCAATCGAGAAAAAATATATGAACAACTTGATGAAGAATCCGAGTCAGCTCAAGAGCTCTTCAACAATATTGCTGAGAAATGGGCGGTAAAAAGTATATTATTTATTTGGCATTACGTGTACTAAAATATATTTTTTCAGTCTATTCAAAATCACAATGATCCTCTTCAAATTAACGAGGATATTATGGAACAAAAAGAGAAGTGCGATATGCTAATAAGCCAAAAGGATGCGATTATAGCAATGCTTAATGAAGAACTAAAAAAAGCGGAGAGAACGTTTACGAAGGATCAAGTGAAGCAAAATCAAGATATTAACACTTTAGCGCAACGCATTGAAAAACAGGTATAATTTTAGTTTAAGCATATCAGTATTTAGGAACATATTTTTTATTTTCTTTTACTGTAGATTACGTTCATGAGGAAAGCATACAGACACGAGCTAAATATAATGGAGGAAGTGATTCTGAAAGAGCGGGAAAATTTAATAGATTCAACCGATAAAAAATGGGAAGAGTTATTTTGCAAACGGGAAAATCAAGAAATATCAAACACCGATAAGAAATTTGAGCAACTTGAGGAATTTAATGCCAGAATGGATCAGTTGCGCACTGAATTTCAAGTATTCGTTTATATATTGTAAATATTTATGACATAATAAAAAATATATATTTTGTAGGATTATTATAGAGAAACGAAAATTAAATTAGAAAACGATATTGAAGAACTACAAATAGAGCTTGAAAAAATTAGAGCTTTGGCTTTACTGAATAGTGAAAAGCTCGATTATAATTATCAGATATTAAAGAAGCGGGAAGACGAGAATATAATCATAAAATCTCAACAGAAAAGAAGGATGAACAAGTTACAAGATTTTATAAATAATTTAAGAGGAAAGATTACGGAATATGAAACTAACACTACCAATCAAATTAAGAAACTATCCGATAATATTAAGAAATTACATAAATCGATATTAGATGTAAGTGATCAATTTCCCTATTTTAAATTTAGCTGAAGTTGTATGGCCCTTTTTTTTCTTGGGTATGCAACCAACAATACGAGTGGTATTAAATTCAAAATTCTTTTAAAATCCTGACATTTAAATCGTGTTGGTATTCAAAGTTAACATTACGAAATGAAATTAAGAATAAAAAACTTTTTGATTAATAAATTAATAAACTGTTGAGATCTGTAAAGATATTTAATACAAATCTCAGGAGGTAAAATAAATACTTTTTTATACAGAATTTTTGGGTTTGATGCTAGGGTTTGATCACAGGTTTGATGTTACCCTAGACAATTTATTTGCTTATACAGAGTGATCCAAAATCATCAATATCGTCAGTCTATAAACAAAATACACTACACAAACTATATATAGTATGTGAACACTGTTTTCATCTTTGACTTAAGAATCATATTTTCTAAAAATGAAGTGAAGATATTTTTTTTCTTTGTGAAGTAGGTACTTCATTTGTAATGTAAGGGAAAATGGTGTTGAGATCATTATGTTTTAAGTCTCTGGTTGAGATAAAAAGTTTCTATTGACTGGGATTAAATGGGATTAATAAGTATATATCAAAATGTATATACAGGGTGAGTCTTAAAAAAGTGCAAATATTTTTAGGGGTATTTGCGACCCCAGAAAAATGCCTATGAGGTTTTATTCGCGAAAAAAAGATTGAAAATTTGGAATTTAAAAAAAAAAATTGAAAATGTTAGTTAAAAAAACATAATATTTTCATAATATGGCAACATAGATAGTAGAGTAAATTTAAAAGAAAGAAAACCCCAAAAAATAAAGTGCTTCTCAATATTTAAGAGAAAAATCAAATTTTTTTGAAATTTTTGCAGCAAAACATATCTTGGTGATTTGGGACTTATTTGAAAAACGGTAAAGAGAAAATTTGTTGCATTTATTGAGATCTACTAGCCCTGAAAATATTTGCACTTATTTAGGACTCGCTCTGTATATAGGGTGAGTTTTAAATAAGTGCAAGCTTTTACTGTTTTTCAAATAACTTCTACCTTCCAAAATTTTCAAAAAAAATGATTTTTTGGTAAAATTTTGAGAACCATTGTATCTTTTCAGGATTTTATTTCTTATAAATTTAATCTACTACCTACTAGGCCAGTCGCCAAGTATTAAAAAATAGCTTATGGCGGGAGCAAATCCGGACAAGCTAGAATAAACTTTATTTTGTTTAGTTTAGTATAAGGAACCACGTGTTAAATTTGCACCACCCCCAAAGCACGGATTTGGCCGCCATGTTGGAAAAAGTGGCTAAAATTCGGTTTATTTTTCATTATTTGTCAATAACTCGATTTCTGTCAACTTTAGTGCAAAAAATGTAGAGACTAAAATTAAAGAAGAGGAAAAACTCTATAAAAAACGTTGTATGGGTTTTTTTCGTGCGGCTACCCAAAGTATCGAATTTTACGAAAACAAAATTAAGGTTTGATATAATGTACGTGTTCAATATATCCGGGGTTAACTGTACTTGTTTCCACACCACCTTGAGCGGCACCCCCGAGACATAAACCCTAAAAACTTGTTTGCTACTAGTTGGCAGTAGCCTGCTGTCGCGGTCATAATGGAAGAACATAATTTGCATTATGACCGCAATAACGGACTAAATTTTTATTGTTGCGCGACTGGTGGAAAATCAAGTTTAACCGCCTTATCTCTCAGGAGATGCCTTGAGGTAAAGTACCCGGCGTGTTTTTTTTTAGTTTGAGAGTTTTTCCTCTTCTTTAATTTTGGTCTCTACATATTTTGCACTAAAGTTGATAGAAATCGAGTTATTGGCAAATAATTAAAAATAAACCGAATTTTAGCCAGTTTTTCCAAGATGGCGGCCAAATCCGGGCTTTACGGGAAGTACTAATTTAATACGTGCTTCTCGACACCAAACTAAACAAAATAAAACTTATTCCATCTTGTCCGGGTTTGCTCCCGCCATCGATGCACTTGCCGACTGGCCTATACATGTCATTGCCAATATTAAGAAATTATGTTTTTTTATTAAGAACTAAAAAAATTCCCAGACACCATTTTTTATCCAAATATTGACTTAGTTCCAAAAATTATATTTAATAATTATAATAAATAATAATATTTTGACAAAATCGAAATAAAAATGAAAAAAATTATTTTAGGACATATATTTATACGAACTTTTTTACTTATTTTTATCTGCAGAATAGGCAATCTGCACAATTCAGGCCACCCTATATAATAAGATCAGTTTTTGTTATGTCATTGAGTAGATTATTTTTGAGCTCTATGTAATTTTTAATGCTTGGCTTAGACTCGCATTTAGTTATTTTAAGAGTTCATTTTACTAGTCCGAAAAAGTACCAAAATAAGCGTTCGGCATTTAACTTAAACTGGCTAGGTATTTTTACACAAATGAAGAAGGAAATTAAAGATAAAGATTATACTATATCCGTAGTACATTTTTAGACAACATCTTTATTTTTAAGATTTTGATAGTCAAACATCAACAAAATATTCCTTATGTTTGGACTAAATTAGTTTACTTATTTCTCGAAAATAAAGACATAATTTAAAATTCCGTTACCATAGGGAAATAGATTGAAGTTTTGTGATTACAGTGATATATAATTTATATGGTTTTGTAACAAATAATTTGTATATATATAAATTCGGGTCAGAACGTCCTACGACGTTGTCCGATACCTAACTTCCACCATGTGCGATTTTCCCATTGATCTTCGGTCAGATTTTTCTCGCTCATCGACCTTCTTATTCCTTCCATCCATGTTTTCTTGGGACGTCCTCTCTTTCGTTTACCAGTTGGTATCCAATGAATGATTTGTTTTGGAATTCTTTCATTGTGCATTCTCTGAACGTGGCCGTACTATATTAATTGTTTTTGTTCTATATCATTTACTATTGTTCCCTCTATTCCTATCTGTTGTCTAATGTCTTCATTTCTGATCTTATCCCTCCGTGAAATTCTCATTGCTCTTCTAATCGCGTCCATTTCTGTTGTCTCTAATTTCCTTTTATTCCATTGAGTGAGTCGCCATGTTTCACATCCATAGAGTAATATGCTTATAACTAGTGTCTCGTATATATTATATTTCCTGTTTTTTGTAATTTCAGTGCTCCATAGAATGCCATTTATGCATCTGATAACTCTTCGTGCCTGTATTACTCTGTTGTTTATTTCTCTATCGTCCGTTCCATCTCCTGTAAATATCGATCCCAGGTACCTGTAATCTTCACATGCCCTAATTTCCATATTATTGTCTAAAATAAGATTTTCTGTATTAGCTCCAATTGGAAGGTATTTTGTTTTTTCTGTATTTACTGTGAGACCCCATTTAGCATATTCTTCAATTATTTTCCGCACCATATATTACAAACAATTTGTTACAGAGCAATTATTGCTCTCTATTTTATGGCAAATGCTGAAGCTCTGCAAACCTTAATCAAGGCACGTGTGTTTGGAATTTTGGATGTGGCTTAACACGACAGGATCGGACTAAGCCTTAGGCAGATTTCTGAAATATAATATATATTTCCTTCGGCCACACACCCGCTTTACCCGACCCCTGAGGGCGACCCGAAAGTACAGCGTAAAGTACTTTTAAAAGAAATATTTAATTAACTCTTTTAGAAAAATGAATTTTCGACTCTATTAACAAAGTTGTCACCCTGTATATAATTTATTTAAGGTGGACGCCAAAGCTGACCGATTCGCTCGAGTTAACGATGAAAAGTTTCACATGGTATGGGAGATGAATCGTCAACGTGTTCATAATGTTCTCAAAAGAATTTTGGACACTGACAGGATCCTGTACGAGCAACAAATGGGTATCGATTGGGAACCACCTCCCAATTTTGTGGTAGAGAAAAAAGCTCTACTAAGTTATAAACTGGCTCTTACTACACTCTCATCGGATAATATCATTGGTAAGCTATCATTCTGCGGCGAAGCTGAAATTGATACCGGTGATGCGTCGCATACCTACAAAATATTGTATATTATCGTTGATTGAAAGAACTATAACTTATTTCCTTCAATCAACGATATTATGTTTATATTTAAAAATAAATATTGAGATCTCCTATAATATATGGCCGATTCTAAAATGCAAGTATAAATTCGGAATAACAATTATTCTCCTAACATTGTATACTTATCGAACAGAAATTTTAATAGGTATTCCAAGAATTGGTTATACCTGGTATACAGGGTGTCCCAGGCTCAGCGCGCATTAGAAGTTTCTAGAGAACTACAATATCTAGATCGGAGATTTTTTGCACATCATTGTTTCTCAACGAGATCTATCGATTAAAAATATTTTCAATATGGCGGCACTTTCGGAAATACCGGAAGTTGATCGCAACTTTCTGATTTTAAATGGGTGCCCCCATTTTTTATTACATACTTAAATTCTCCATAAAATTTTATGAATTTTGATATTAAACAGATTAAACACTCTATACTACTCTATACGTTTTTGAGAAAAAGATATTTAAAATTTTTGGACGAAAAAAATTGCTTGTCAAAAATTTGTGTATAGCCTAAACATCAAAATTAGTGATTACCGCAGTCACTGTGTCATAAAGAGAAGATATGTTTCTATTTCAAAAATTAAATTGTTCGAATGTCATATAATAATAACCGCAGCTGTCATGGAATTTAGCGATGAAAAAAATATCAAAACTCATTTCTTTCAATTGGAAATCCATTTTTTTATTTTACTAGTGAAAATGCTTGTCAATTCGTTAATTTTTGACTATAAATGTTCCTATACCTAAAATAAACTGTTTTTAAGTTATTCAAGATTTATTTTTAAAGCGTATATGTTTCTTGATTTTAACCAGTGGCCTATGAGCAACGTCAAGCGATGCAAAACAATAGATCTGGCCATGTCATATTGTGACACTTTGTTCAAAAAGCAGTATTTTATCGATCAGCATTTCCAAGACAACTTTGCGCTGTTTTTTTTTTCGATCATACGATATATTATTAATAATATCAACTCTTACAAAAATAAAGTGCGAAAATACGAGATATATTTTTATAAATACACTTTTTAAACCCTTAAGGGGGGCAGGCAGTATTTATAATATAGAAGATTCAAATAATTCGTTTTCTGATAGACTGAAATAAATTGTCTGACTGACACTTACTGTCAAAGGAATCTAGATAAAATCAAGAAAAATACACGTTTGAAAACTAAATCTTAAATAACTTAAAAACGATTTATTTTAGGTATAGGATCATGTATACTCAAAAAGTAACGAATTGAAAAACCTTTCACTAACGAAATAAAAAAAGTGGGTTACCATTTGAAAAAAATGATTTATGATAATTTTTTAATCGCTCAATTTCATGACAGATAACGTCATTACTATATGACATTCAAACAATTTAATTTTTGAAATAGATAGCCACATGTCTTCTCTATATGTCGCAGTGGCTGTGGTAATCACTAAATTTGACTTTTAGGCTATATAATTTTTTTTGACAGGTAGTTTTTTTCGAGAATTTAAATGTATAATAAAAAAATTGGGGTACCCATTTAAAATAAGTAAGTTGCTGTTAACTTCCGGTATTTCTGGAAGTGCCGCCATATTGAAAATATTTTTAATCGGTAGATCTCGTTGTAAAACAATAATGTGCCAAAAATCTCCGATCTAGATATTGTGGTTCTCTAGAAACTTCTAATGTACGCTTAGCCTGGGACACCCTGTATACTTGCTTTTTAGAACCGGCCCTTATAATATCAGATAATTAAACTCAATTTCAATTTATTTAATGTGTGTATTGGTCGAGCTTCATACACTCAGATGCAAAAAAAACGCAAGGGAACATTTTTTCAATTCAATTTTTTCAAGTGTTTTATTTTTTTTTATTCTTATAGCGCTATTTTTATGAATTTTTTTAGCAAATTGTATATAAATCTATCAACTTTAATTCATACACTTAGTTTTTTTTATAAACTTTAGTATTTGGTTTCTTATACAGGGTTAATTGAAAGATTGTTTTTTATCCTAACTTTAAAACACCCTGTGCAATAATTTTGAGAGTGAGTGACTTTTTTTAAAACATTTTATTTCTTTTAGAACCATGTCTTTTGAGCATTTTGTTTTTTGACTCATTTCAACGCATGCCATGGTTAATTTTTAAGAGCGAAATGAATTTGAAACACTGATTAGAACTTTATATTAAAAATAAAAAACGTTAAAATGTAACGATACAGGATTGGTTTTAAGAAATATTTTTTTTGGAAATCTTCAAAGTAAAATAACTCGGTTATTTTTTACTTATTTGAAAAACGGTAAAGAGAAAATATGATTCTTTTATCGAGACGTCTAGTAATTAGCTTATTTTAATTATATTTAAATGCCAGTTTTTTTAGATATACATTTTGTACTTAAATATTAATTTTCAGATGCGGAAAAATACAAATCGAGGTCAGCAGCAAAAAATCAGAAAGGAGATAGACCTTCTCTGAAAGGCGTGCGCGATGAAACATTGGTACTTCCGGATGAGACTTCGAGCAAGAACTATCAAAGAGTCATTAAACACATTTTAGAAAAAATATCCGATAAATCTGGTTTTCTTGCCGAACGGCGTTTGAAAACATTGCTGAAGGGATACGAAGACGAACAGAAACATTTAGTGAGATTGGACAACGTCTTTAAGGTATGAAGTTAAAGGGGGTGGTTCCTCTTTTGTTAATTTTGTAGATTTTCTTGCAGTGCAGTGGCAAAATACCTATAAAGGATTTTTTTTGGAGAGAATTTCCTTTATATATACATGGTGCTACAAATTCGAGGTACGAGCATTGGTATCTCGGAAACCGTAAGAGATACGAAGATGGTTAAATTGGGGCAAAGTTGCGCTTTAGAATGTTCACCATGATGCCATCAAAAAAGTTTTAAAAATTTCAAGGATTGCTGAGTTTTGGAAAAAACGAATTTTTTTGAAAATCAATTTTATTTTTTCTTGGCGTTAGTTTTTAGAAAATCAAAAAACTAATTGCACATTCTCATGGCCACAATATGTTAACAAAGCAACGAATTTAAAAATCACTTTATTCTCGATATATAGTTTGTTTTTTGATTCATCCCAACAGCTGTATTTTTATTGGAGATATTCGCTTTTGAGTAAGACAGTAACGATTTTAACGCAATTTTAGCATTGGTTTTGGGTCCTCATCAACACACTTATAAAATAGTATTTATTGCTTTGAATAAGACGACTAAGGAAGGAGCATAATTCTATCCATGTATTCATGCATGGTCGGCGGAAAAAGGACTCTAGGGTGGGGATCCTTGACAGTTCTGTTTGACGATTCATTTGACACATTTGAATTTGATTTGAAATTTTGTGGATTTGCCAGTCTTTACGGAGCTTATTTTATGTTATTTATTATTTATTCTACTACTGATAGTTGTATAAAGGTAGTAAATCTAGATGGAAATTGTAGCAGAACTTAAATTAACAGTGACACCATCGCGATTTATCGAAAAAGACTCTAAAATACGAGTAGTTGGTTGTGTAGCGTGCGGTAGATCTCGGCAAAAATCGAGTGAAATAATGGAACAAATTTTCGCTAGTAAGTCCCTATATAATATACATACGTGTAGTAAACCGATCATTTATGAAATTCACTTAAATTAACTAATTATATATTTTTTCTTGCATTTTTGCTTTTATTTACTACTTGTCAAAGATTAGATATCAAAGAATTTAGATACGTCAATTTGACTTACCTACTTCAGTAGCGTATCGGATGTTTGTGTTAATAAATAATTATTAAAACTTATCTATTTTTATTATAATAATATGTTTTTATAACAATTTTAATAACTACCAACATTTATTCGCAACGAAAAATAAACTAACTAATTATTGAGTCTACCCCACGTCTACCCTACATCATAGATTTACATTTTTTAAATAAAATTAGAACGGCACTGATAAACCGGAATTTAAGTCGGCCATATTTGAGGCCCATCGCGGTGGATCTAAGATTTTTGATATGCTCCTTCCTTAGTCTTCTTATTCAAAGTTAAAATCGGTGTGCCGCTGAGTGTACTTGCGGATTTTGTTCAATATATTCTTTAAACTTACCACTTTTTGGTCTTTCTTTTTATCTGTATATTTTTTTCTTGCTATTAGAATGTAACTTTTTTACTGATTAGACAGCAAGACTAAGGGATACTGGTCTTGCATTTGCTCGTTGCTATTTTTTTTTGTAAATTATTTTGCTCATTTCAGGCTCTTGGAATCGAAGGCGCTTCGAATATTGATATGTTATTTAAACACTTTCAACCTTATACATTTTGTCCAACTTGTCAAGGATCTATGGTTGTATCCTCTGCCAAATTAGATGGTAAAGACAGTACGTGTGTCTCACAAGTTTACTCTATGTACTCAAGTAAGTACACATTTTTTGAGACAATTTTTTTTTAATCATAGCAACCTAGAATGTAGAATGAGTAAGACTGCGACCTTAAAGATATATTGTGCCCCCTTTCCTTGAGTCCTCACACAGTCTATAGCCCATCATACCCCTGTTGTAGAGGGGACAAGGTATTTCCCATCCTCCTCTGACAGCAGTTCTTCCTCCGAGGGTACACACCCTTCCACGGTTGGAGTTTGGCCCTCCGTGCCGCTCTTCACAGTCGAGGAGCTTGCCTCCGGCTGAGGAACCCGTGAGGTGGAGGATCTGTCTCCATTTTCTCCAACTCTTTAACTTGGTCTCTCCTTAGACCTGATATACCGGTGTTGTCCCGTATCTATATAGAGGATATGTCTCTCTTTCTCTATTGCCTCCTGAACCCGTGAGGTGGAGGCTGGAGGATCTGTCTCCATTTTTTCCATCTCTTCTTTCATTGTCTCTCCTTAGACCTGATACCGGTATTGTCCCGTATCTATAACAGAATCCCTCGTTCTCTATTGCCTCCTTGGATTTGAGGTCAATTCCTATTGTGAGGACCTGACCATGACCCTCCTCCCTCGAGTTGATGACTCGCCAACTCGATGTCCTTACATTGAAGTTCTGACCCTGGATAAGGCTCATCAGGTAGGTGGTGTCTTTCGCCTTGCTCCTCGGCAGAAAGACCGTGATGGCCGCCCCTTTAGGGATGTTTATTCTCTTCACTGTAACCAGTTCCGGCCCTTGCCAATTTCTAAGTTGCACCACTAAGTTGCGATTTCCACCAACCAATTCGCCGATTCTTGAGATACACAATCTATGAGGATCATGCCCACCCGAAAGTGTATCTCCGCAAAACGCGGCTGACCCACATTTGTCCAGTATAGCCTCTTCTAGAGACGTTTGCTGGTCGATGGTCAGAGCAACCTCTGGGAAATCCTTTGGCAGCATCGCCATTTTCACTTGTCCAGCAATAGCGGCAAAGCTGGTGATACGTCCCCGCTTGCCTCCCGCTGTTGGACGGCTTTCCATCCTGGCCTTTCTCTCCCTGCCGGAGAAGAGGTAAGAGGTTCTCGCTCCCTCTCTTGCCCTTTGATGGAGATGAGTCAGGATGTTTTTGGGTTTTTTTACTCCCCCCTATTCGGAGGAGTGTTTTCGCTTTTGCTTCCCCTGGAGCAAGTCCTTCGTGGAGCAGTCGGAGATATCTTCGTGCTTCTGCTCCGCTAAGACCTACTCTCAGAGGACTGTCTAGCCCGCCTGATTGACCCAGGCCGGGTAGACGAAACTGTAGCTTGTGTCACTTATTGAGTCTAGAGGTAGACTCCCGACCCTTGTTGGAGAAGGTAGTAGTTTGTGTGCCACTTGTGGAGGATGATCCCAAGCAAGTGTCAGCCGCCCCTCTTGTAGTTTTTTTTTGATTTGGTCCCTTGGTTACTTTTATTTGTAATGTTCCCAGTGTTGCTAGGGGGCTTCCCCACAGCTTCACCGGTGGTGTTTTAATACTAGATCTCATAGTGTTCCCACGAGTCGCTAGGGATAGTCGGTCCACTTCCACAGAGCCCCGCATATAGAAGTAAGGGGTAAATACAATGGGGTGCCCCCTGATGCCCCAAGGTTGAGGCCAGTAATGGCTAGTACTCTATCTAGCCACTCATCCCTTTGCCCTGGTCCCGCTATCGTAGGATTTATCGTTTTTGGTGAGGTTGTCTCCTCTAGGTCCAGACGGTTAAGCCAAGCCCCCCCCCCCATACCCTCTACCTGCGAGACATGACCACAGTCAGTATAGAGGGTGCCTATGTATGAGAGGGGTAGCCTCGTCCGGCATAGTTATATGTCTTGGTGCAATTCCCTGGCCACGACACTACAGCCAGGGACAAGACGATGAGGGAGATGCTTGTTAGACCAAGCCAGGCGCTAGGGGGATTCCCCCCAGCATCTGACCATGAGCTTCCCCACCAACGATAAGGTTTTGCATCTCCTAGGAGAAGATTGAAACCTAACCAACTAGGCGTCTTGTTGTGTTGTGAAAATTCCAAATGTTTATTTTATTTTTTTTATTAAATTTAAATTTTATTTTATTAAATTAATTTGTTAATAATTTAATGTTAATAAAATTGTCGAAAAAATGTTAACGCGTAAAGGAGAGCGTAATTAAGGCACTGTTGGGTGTAATAACATTGAGTAATTCAACTTTCCTGGATATTCAACTATCCCGAAACAACATTTTATAGCTTATAGTTTCTTACACCGACTTGATCAAAAGCAAAAATGGATTCAAGCAGTTCGACTAAACAAGTGAGTAAAGATGGTTCGCTATTTAAACGCGTGTATTTGGCTAAACGTTGGCAACGTTGACAGACATCTGGCGTAAATTCGGTTTGTTTTTTGTGGTTATATATAATGTTTTGTTATCGTTGTAATGTGCGGTATTTTTCCTATGGAATAAATTTTCCACTCCCAAGAATATAATATTGCTTGATTTTCATTTTTGCAATATAATGAAGTCATAGCAAAAGTTAAGCGTGCAAGAGAAAAAGATATTAAGGAACCTAGTGACTGTGAATTTATTAACCGTTGTGATATGGTTGAAGTAGCGGGTTTGAAATAACTAATAACTCCCGTTGACGAAAATTCGGGCATACTTTATTTTGTCCACCATGAAGAACCGAAAATGTTTACTGTTTTCCTTTTTAATATTTAGAATGCTATGTTGTTATTTTCTATAATTTTTAATAAATATACTAAAAAAGTAAATTGTAATTTTAAGATATGTCGATCAGCTTGAATATTTAGGTGATCCAGTATTCTAAAAAGTTTTATTTGTTCTAACTTCCACCAACATTCTTCCTCACCACACTCATCCTGTACAGGGTGGGTCAAATTCGACGCTTTTAAATGGAAACACCCTTTTCTATAGGAGATAGACAAAAACTAATATCGGTGTCTGGAGCTCAATTTTTGCCAAAAACATGATGGTGAAAACCGCATATCGATATCTGTTACCGTTTCGAAGTTACGGGGTGTTTTTCAAAAATATACATTTTTAACAAATCGCTGTAACTTTTTTGCTATGGAAAATTTTGTATTTTTATGAAAACATTTCCAAAGCACCTTTTTACGTAGAATTTAATGGTTTAAGTATAATTTTTTTAAAATTAATAATTTAAGAATTATCAACAGAAAATTAGATTTTTTATATGGGACACTCTGTATATTTTTAATTTATTAAAAATAACTTAAAATTACCTTTCCAAAAATATAACACACTTGATATTTTGCTCGATTCCTCTTCGAAATATAGAGTATATAAAAATTCGCCCGCTTTAAATAGGCTTTGAACGGCACCGGCTGTAATGCAAAAAAAATCTAGCTGTGAGCATCAATTAAAACGTAACCTAACAATTTAAAATACATTTAACCAACATCAACACATTTAAACTATATCTAATAACAATAAAAATAAATAGCAAACCAAGACATAAGATTTTGCTACAGATGTTCGACATATCGACCGTCTTCTGCTATGGACAGACGGGGCTGTTTTTGAACATTTCTCGCGGAATTCATTAACTCAGTGGGGGTGAAAGATACACTCTCATAACTGCTAAGTATTTCTAATTCTTGTCTAGATTATACGAAATAAGGAACCTTTATTCTTCCGCAAATATATCCATAGGATTAGATCCATGGGCACTAAGTCAGGCGGCCTCGACGGCCAACGGCTGGGATCTTGGTTAGTTATTCAATTATTCTTGAAATTGGCTTCAAAAAAACGCTGATAACTTCAGCGTTCTGAGGCGGTGCGTCGTCTTGTGGAAAAATATGTTTTCGAGTTCCATTAAGGGCATATCATCAATAAGGGGTCCAAAGCCTACTAGTTAAAAGTGGCGAACTTTTCAAAATTCTGTATTTCGAAGGGGATTATAACAGAATATCAAGTGTGCCATATTTTTGGAAAGGTAATTTTAAATTCTTTTCAGTTAATTAAAAATATAGAGGGTGTCCCAAATAAAAAATCGATTTTTCTGTTGATAACTCTTAAATTATTAATTTTAAAAAATTATACTTAAACCATTAAATTCTACGTAAAAAGGCGCTTTGGAAATGTTTTCATAGATTACAGTTGAGGGTTGGAACCTTTGGTGTTAAACAGCAAAATAAAAACACTAAATCACCACAATACACCAAAACACTTTTACTTTTACACTGGACGCGCGTTTCGCTAACCATGTTAGCATCATCAGCAGATGATTATAAACTAAAGTACAATCTACAAGTTGAGCGTTTATATATTCGCCCAGTGGGCACCGAGGTCAGAGCCAACTGGAGTTGGCTCTGACTCGGTTGGCTAGATTTTGCCACGCCCACTCGGTGCCCACTGGGCGAGTATATAAATGCTCAACTTGTAGATTGTACTTTAGTTTATAATCATCTGCTGATGATGCTAACATGGTTAGCGAAACGCGCGTCCAGTGTAAAAGTAAAAGTGTTTTGGTGTATTGTGGTGATTTAGTATTTTTATTTTGCTTTTTTTTAATGTTTTCATAGAAATACAAAATTTTCCATAACAAAAAAGTTACAGCGATTTGTTAAAAATGCACATTTTTGAAAAACACCCCGTAACTCCGAAACGGTAACAGATATTGATGTGCGGTTTTCACCATCATGTTTTTGATGAAAATTGAGCTCCAGACACCGATACTAGTTTTCGTCTATCTCCTATAGAAAAGGGTGTTTCCATTTAAAAGCGTCGAATTTGACCCACCCTGTACAATAGAATACATTTTACTGGTAACCTTTAGTAAATGTTAGTTTTTCACTAGTGAATGTTAGAAAAGACTAGGAAAAGTCTACAAATCTCTTTAAAATACCACATTTACTGGCCCAATGCGTAATTGCTAGCATTTACTAGTGAATGTTAACAAACACTGAATTTCCGACTTTCACTGTAATATATGTATATACTAGTTGTGTATGATATTCTCCTATGGTGGCAGCACTGGTGGAGAAAGCACCAAGCCTATAGACTTGATCATAATGTAGCCATCAATACCTTTCATTATTTAGAAATTGGAGAAGCTGAAACAGTCATACCAGAACTGGTTGAAGTGATGGAAGCCGTAAGACAACCCGACGCCGTTTTTGACATTGTGGTATCTGATTTGGTGACAACTGTCGATTTATATGACGAATTAAAAAGTGCAGAACCATCGTATATGGAAGGGGTAGAGGATATTTGCGGTGGAGCTAATTTAGAGGTTTAGTAAGTTACTGAATGCAATAAGTCCAAGTTATACAGTCCCAGGATATGTCCCCGGATTGTCTTTACAAGAGGAAAAACTTTTTTTATTATCAATTCTTTGAGAAAAAAATATTCTTTCTAAAAATTTTGCTTGTTCTAAAATGGCAAATCCCGTTTATATTTTCTCAAATTTCTATACTATTTTAGAGCAAATTAAAAAAAAACAAAATATGGTTGAATTTTTCCTTCTGAAAGTCCTAAAAATCCGAGGGGTAATTCGCTATGGAATTTGGTGTACAGGGAGTTGGAATTTTTTGGAATTTTTTTTGGAATTATTTGGAATTTTTTGGATTCTTTTGAGAAAAAAATCTATTTGGTGTACAGGGTGGGTCAAATTCGACGCTTTTAAATGGAAACAACCTTTTCTATAGGAGATAGACAAAAACTAATATCGGTGTCTGGAGCTCAATTTTTGTCAAAAACATGATGGTGAAAACCGCATATCGATATCTGTTACCGTTTCGGAGTTACGGGGTGTTTTTCAAAAATATGCATTTTTAACAAATCGCTGTAACTTTTTTGCTATGGAAAATTTTGTATTTTTATGCAAACATGTCCAAAGCACCTTTTTACGTAGAATTTAATGGTTTAAGTATAATTTTTTAAAATTAATAATTTAAGAATTATCAACAGAAAATTTGATTTTTTATATGGGACACCCTGTATATTTTTAATTAGCTGAAAAGAATTTAAAATTACCTTTCCAAAAATATAGCACACTTGATATTTTGTTATAATCCCCTTCGAAATACAGATTTTTTAAAAGTTTGCCACTTTTAACTAGTAGGCTTTGGACCCCTCATTGATGATATGCCCTTAATGGAACTCGACAACATATTTTTCCAGCAAGACGACGCACCGCCTCTGAACGCTGAAGTTATCAGCAAATTTCTCCAGCCAGTTTCAAGAATAATTGAATAGCTGACCAAGAACCCAGCCGTTGGCCGTCGAGGCCGCCTGACTTAGTGCCCATGGATCTAATCCTATGGATATATTTGCGGAAGAATAAAGGTTCCTTATTCTTCTGTATAATCTAGACAAGAATTAGAAATACTTAGCAGTTATGAGAGGGTATCTTTCACCCCCACTGAGTTAATGAATTCCACAAGAAATGTTCAAAAACTGCCCCGTCTGTACATAACAGAAGACGGTCGATATGTCGAACGCCTGTAGCAAAATCTCATGTCTTGGTTTGCTATTTATTTTTATTGTTATGAGATATAGTTTAAATGTGTTGATGTTGGTTAAATATATTTTAAATTGTTATAAAATTCTGCATCTCTCATAGCAAATATTATTTTCGTTTTAATTGATGCTCACAGCTAAAATTTTTTTTGCATTACAGCCGGTGCCGTTCAAAGCCTACTTATTTAAAGCGGGCGAATTTTTATATACTCTATATCTCGAAGAGGAATCGAGCAAAATATCAAGTGTTTTATATTTTTGGAAAGGTAATTTTAAATTCTTTTCAATAAATTAAAAATATACAGGGTGTCCCATATAAAAAATTAATTTTTCTGTTGATAACTCTTAAATTATTAATTTTAAAAAAATTATACTTAAACAATTAAATTTTACGTAAAAAATACTTTGAAAATGTTTTCATAGAAATACAAAATTTTCCATAGCAAAAAAGTTACAGCGATTTGTTAAAAATGCACATTTTTGAAAAACACCCCGTAACTCCGAAACGGTAACAGATATTGATGTGCGGTTTTCACCATCATGTTTTTGATGAAAATTGAGCTCCAGACACCGATATTAGTTTTCGTCTATCTCCTATAGAAAACGGTGTTTTCATTTAAAAGCGTCGAATTTGACCCACCCTGTACACGATTCCAGCAGCGGTTTACCCCTCGTAAAAATCAAAAGGCGTTGGCTATGGAAATATAATTTTGATTTCATCCCTTGATAGATGGTTATCAGGCCCTCAATAGTAATTTTAGAGAACTACAAATTTAGTTTCTTCTGTATCGCCAGACGGCGCAAAATACATTAAAGTACAGGTTTCTAATTTATATATGAAGATGACATAACAGCCTTTATGTTGACTATCGCCTATGGTCTAGTTATGGTTTAGTTGACAAAATGTTGGTGATCCGTCAAGTTATTTTAAAATCATTATTTAAATAATTATTACTTCAGATATTCCTGATTTGTAGGAAATTCGGTGATTTGTGTTTATAGTTTGTGTTTTTATTAGTTTGTCCATTTTGGTATTTACAGTCGATCATCATTTTGGTGTTAGATACTAAACTTTCTTAATAAAGATATATTAGAAATAATAAATTGATGAACCAAATAAAAGAATAATAAATAAGTAAGTATATACCTAGTTGGTAATATATAGTATTTTGAGTAACAGTTAATTAATAGTCTATAATATTTTTTCTATAATATTATAATTAATGTGGTAAATCAAAAAAATAGGCGCTATATGCTCTATTGTTTCTATTGTATTCATAGTTTTATTTCTGTTTTAAATATCTTACACCTCTAATCATAACGTATCTAATAAAACATAAAATGTGGTAAAAAAGTATATTTATTATTTTATTTTTTACAAGGATTATTTTGTGCTTGGATAACGTTACCGTTTTAGTTAGGCGTAATAAGTAACGAAACGCTAAAATTATGTTATGTCAAAACTCTCCACTAGTTTCTTCCGGATCACCAGGTGGTCTAAAATGACGGACTTATTTGGTTTATGTCAGTGTCTCATCTATCTCTAGTACATGATGGTTATTATTAATTTTCATTAACGTCTTATTTTTTGCTGTTGTTAAACTATTACATTTTCCAATAACTATTATCACCCTGTTCATAGCATTGAACAAGACAAATTTTGTGCAAACAGCAAAAAATATGTCTTTAATTAAAATTCTTTCAATAACAATCTATCCAAGAATGAAAATTATATTACCATAGAAACGCCTTTTGATTTTTAGGACTTTTGGACTTCAACCCTTTTTCAGCCATATTTTCATGTTTTTTTTTTAATTTTCTTTAAAACGGTATGGAAAATTGCAAGAGTATAAACGGGGTTAATCATTTTAGAAGAAGCACATTTTTTTATTAAGAATGAATTTTTTTCAAAATATCAATAACAAAATTTTTTTCCTCTTGTTTTACAATTTTACGATTACTTTTCAATATATCTTCTTTATTAGTTTTTAGTCTATTTTTTATTTTGATCATTTTTATTTATTAGGATTTTACGTACAGTTCATTTTTTAAAATGCCTTGGACAGATTTTTTGACTTTTATTGATATTATTTAATGTAATTTGATTAATTAATTTTCCCTCTATTTTTATAGTAGAGAAAAAGACAAAGATAAAGCAAAGGGTACTTCAGCTCGAATAAGACTCTCACGTACAAATATTAATGTGGACATGTGGCAGTGTCAATACAAACATTCTTTGGTTATTAGTTCTGTTTACATATTGAAAGCCTTACGAGAATTTGTTACTTCTTATTATGTTAAAAATGTTGGGTAAGTTTAAAGTACTAGAAAAAATCTACAGTTTATACCAAAGACATCTAAATAAAGGGAGAAAACAATTTACATTTTATCGCGATCACAAACCGTGTTCCGCAAAAATCGATGATGACAGATTTACGCGGTATGTGATAGAATACGGTTCGAGTTCCAAATGGTATTATTGTTATTAATGTTTCTTGGGTACCTATAGAAACGTTAAACTAAGTATTTGTATAGGTATATAACTTTAATTAATATATATAGATTGTGCCAGGATTAACCTTTGACATTATTTTTATTTTCCTAATTAAATTATACCGTATGATCGAATAAAAACGGCGTCAGCGATGGCTATGAAATGAAGATCGCAGTCATTTTATATGTAAATTTATATAGGAAATGCCATCGATCGTCATTTCCAAGCCAACTGGACGCCGTTTTTATTCGATCATACGGTATTAAGGAAATTACAATGACAACTATAGTCTGTCCAACGAGAAGATCCTTGACAGTGATTGATGTGTCTGTCATTTTAATTTCAAAGTAGTTTATTTTATTTTACAAAGAAATAAGTTGGTACAACTGGAACGCATAGCAGGATATATTTAAAATTTGATTGACAAGATGACAAGTGATTACTTCAAAATATTGTGAAAAAAAACTGTATAAAACTGAAAAAATGTAATTGAGCTATTTTATTTAATAAAAACGGTACGTGTTAATACAAAACAAACAAGAACAAGACACTACATACCAAAAAAATATAAAAAAGAACTATTATTTACTTTCAAGCTTTATGAAACTACCCGCATTTATGATTATATTTATCAATATAACTTATGTACAAATACAAATTTGTAATATTCCACAGAAATAAATAAAACAACATAGGTAAATAAAACAAACTATTTTATTAATAATAACACCTACCAAATTTTATACCTTAAAGGTTGATTAATTAACTTTAGTCTTAATTTTTTAAACCAGTATACCTTTTGACATTATTTTTCTGCAGTACTAAAATCCATTATTTATCTATCGTGTGATGTCGATATTTTACAGCTACTCTAGTTTTTAGTATGTGTTTAGTTTGATCCTTCTACCATATACGAGATGCACTTATCTACGACGAAATGGTATACAAACTTTATCGATGGCAACTTCATTGGTGTATAAGACTTTCTGCCCTGGCAGCGAGTATTAACCATAAACTGTGCTCTGGGTCTACAGTTAATTTTCACTCGATTTTTCCTCCACTTGACTTCAAAAGACACAAAACACACGTAATAATACGAATCAAAATGCATCATATTCCAAAACGCAGGGTATTTAACAAAAGTTGACACAAAATTATAACCTAGAATTTGGCAAGACTTTGACAAGCGTCAAAAATGACAAAAATCTAAAGGCGAGTTCATACGCATCGGCGTCCGTTTGTCGTTCATCGTTCCGTCAAACCAATAAAATTGAAATACGATCTGTCATTTTTTAAATAAACCAATAAAACTGGTTAAAAACAACAAGACACGACGCATGACGGATTTATATTTAAACCCATCCATAGATAACTTAAAAATTATTAGAAACTTTTTTTAGTAAAATAAATAGATTGGTATGGGACGTCATCTGCTTTTCTTCTGTCATCGTCTGTCGAAATCTTACCTGAGAAAAAAAACAGAGTATAGCAGCATTGCCGTGGATTCATCTTTACTATGAAATTGTCGAAATCTGTAGGAATTACGCTGACATTTGACGTTTTCATTTGTTTTCAGTCAACTTATATTTGACAGCGCGCGGTTGTGAGTTTTCTGCGGTAGTTGAAAGTTTTTTTAGCTTTTGAACGACTTTCGAATAATTATTAGTGTTTACTGAACAGCCCGCCATTAAAAACCGGAAACGGAAATAAATTTCATAAAATTGAAATTGTCATGTCTATGCCATGTCAAATGTCCCAGCCGCCATATCTGAAAATTAGTTACCCAGGCAGCCACGCTGTTTCCATAATTTAACATTGACTTGACACTTCTTCTTGTATTTATTATTTTATGGTTATAAGTAGATTGTTACAAAAATACCTATATTTTCTTATTTGTTGGCGCTTTCGAATTGTGAAATTAGAGTTACCCTCAGTTATACCTCAGGCAAAACTAGTTATAATGGAAAATTGGTCTGAGACAATCCCAATCAATTTTTGATAAAATTCATCAATTTTTGATAAAAAAAAACATCACGCCACCGTCACGTCACTGATAGAGCCAAATGACAGAAAGATAGACGAAACTCAACGGTGTTGTCATATTTATGTACCCATCCCTTTTTAACTCTCATAAACGTGTCAAATATGTCAATATATATCATAAATGATTCTAAAAAATTGAGTTTTATGAATGGAGTGTTCTGTCTACCCATTTAGATGTCTTTGGTTTATACCAAATAAACTTTTAGTCAAGTGATTAAGCTGGACTGGCACAGCGTTGACCACTTTTATATATTTTCTTTTAATCAAAATATTTTAGAAAACAAAAATAAATTAATTATAAATATATAAACAGTTATTATTTACATCAAAACACACATTCTTAACAGCACTTAAGGGACATAAAGGGCCATTACTACCGCTTTCCGGTTGAAAATATTCTAATAAAGTTGCGATAAGTTTTTCACTGCTTTTCGCAATCTTTTACACTTCGCACTAAAAGAAGTTCTAAAAAGAAAAAAGTTCGACTGCAAGGTCTGCTAGTTGACATTTTTAAGCTTAAAATCCCACAACACAATTCATTTAAACCAAAAATTCGTAATACAAAACTAAAGTGTCAAAACAAATGACAATGTCAGGAAATAAATGAATGTGGCAACTTGTTATTTTTTACAGCAGAGCCTGAATCCCAGCGGGAAATTTAAATTCCAGTTCAGCCCGGCGACGAATATGTTGCCATGGTTGGCAACAATGAATTTAAAAATCGCGCTTTTGATTACGTAACTCAAAGTTAATTGGTATTAAATATTCAGGGTGGTCCGAACTGTATTCCGGAAACTTCGTCAGCATATTCTGCAGGTAAAAATAACTAAAAAGTTTCTAAAATGCTTAGTTTCGGAGATACAGGGTGTAGAAGTTTCATTTTTATTTAGATTTTTTCCAAATAATTTCTTAATTTTTTATTTTCTTTATTCTTAATTCTTTATTTCTTTATTTCTTGATTTCTTAAGTAACGTCAATATTTGGAATTGGAGAAAATTGGTGTCTGGGAGTTTTTTGACATGAGAAATTTGGATGTCAATATGACTCTAACTGATTTGAAATCCTGAAAAAGACTTTTCGTCCGTACCTGCATAAAACTACTGAGTGAAAAAATATACAGTTCCGTAACTTTTTACGGAAAAATGTCAATTGGCAAAAATCACTACGAGGAACCGTTTTCAAAATATTTAGAATGCAAATAGTCTATACGTGTCATTATTGACAAAAATAAATATGTCGATTAGATAGTTATTTGACTGAAATCATAAATGTTGGAACTTTTTGTTTTTTTTTCAATTAATCATAATTTTTTTCTTCGAAAAAATGATGATAAAACATTTTCTGTTGAACTTTTAGCACAAAAATATGTTAAACTTATGATTTCAGTCTAATAACTATTTAGTCAACATGTTTAATTTATGTTAATGATGACAGGTTTTACCGAGAGACCTTTTTTACGTAGAAACGTCGTAAATGTATATTATTTTACTCAGTATTTTATACAAGTATGGAAGCAAATTTATTACTTTTCAAACCAGTTAAAAAATATGTGGATGGCCCTCTACAAGTAGGAGTCAGTTGGCTCCACAAGGAGAGTTGTTGACATCAAAATCAAATTTCTCATGTCAAAAAACTTCCAGACACTAATTTTCATCCAAATATTGACGTTACTTCAGAAAACATTGGGAAAAAAATCGAAATAAAAATGAAACTTCTACACCCTGTATCTGCGAAATTAAGCATTTTAGGACATATATTTATACGAACTATTTTACTTATTTTTATCTGCAGAATATGCTGCCGAAGTTTCCGGAAGACAGTTCGGACCGCCCTGTATAATTTTAATATAAATAAGGTAATAACGATTATTTATCATTTTAGACTACCCACAACTGGATCTCGATTAGAGAAAAAGCGTCTAACAATTTCTCGTCTTTTATCTGAAGCCGATATGAATAGTTATTGGGAAAAATTTAAGCTAAATTTTGGAGAAGACAGAGTAAGAGTATGGAAAGCTCTTTTAGTCGGATTAAAGAAATACCACGATATTCTGAAAGGTACGTTCAGTAAATTTGCGATAATCTAGAAAATACATTTATTTACTGGGACACTGAATCGAACGATTTTTTTAATTGGAAGAGATAAATTATTTTTTCTGATATCTCAAAATAAACTTAAGTAAACTAAGTAAACAGAAATTAATATTATCATTTTGCTTTGTTTTATTGCCTGCCGGGTAATCCGATACACAAAATAATTTGCTTTAATTATTATAAATTTGCTGATGGCAAACATATGTCTCGCTCAATAGCTTTACCATTAGAAAGGTGCCAAGCAAAGATATACTATAATTATTCTCAAGATTGATAGACTTAAATATTGAAGAAATGCCTGAAATCTTGATAGACTGATTGATTCATATGTATTCATATAATTTCAGAAAAATAGACATCTTTTACGTGTAACAACTAGTTTTTTACACATAAAAATTAGTTTTTTACACGTAAAAAATAGTTATGGGGGGGGGGGTGTAATTACCACTATTACCCCTCCCCTAAAACCGCGCTTGACTGTACCGATGAGTCGTAAAATATACACACGTAGTGCACATACATTTTTTTTAATTACCCCCTAATTTTTAATAGCACAAAATAACTGAACGTATAAAGGCTCCCTTTCATACGCCAACATGTTTGCGCAAATTAGTTTGAACAAAACGATTTGCGCAATAATTTATGAGCGAAAGTGCAAACATTTTGTTTGTACGTACTAAAATAATTGGTTTGGACAAATCTGTTCTGTTTTCAAGTTTCAATCATTCTACCTAGGTGACATGCCGAAATACAAATGGAGAATTTAAGATCTTCGTAGGATATCCCCGTAGCCATAAACCGCAACGTAGCACTAAACCGTTCATGTGGTGTAATTGCACCCCGTCTCATGACAGTATCTTCCCTCTTAATGATTGGTGTTATTAAACTTAATAATATAAGATAAGTTTCCTCGTCCATTCGCAAATAGTTTCGAAAGTCGTCGGGCTCAATTCTTAATTCTTTTATCAAATTAGTATGAGCCAATAAAGGTCTTTTTTGTAGCCATGATTTGATTTCTCGTCTTTTCTTTTTCTGTAAAATGAGTTTCTTCTTAATAGTTTGTCTATATTCATATTGTTACGTTTTTCGTCGTTTTCGTGTGGATAGAAAGTCACAATTTATTTAAACACAATTTATTTAACACTAATTAACAAAAACAATAACGATTAAAAGACTTAAAAAACCATTTATAACTTATTTACAATTTATCTAACTATTTATCTAACAGGAATTTATTTTGAATATAGCGCGGCGATTGTAACTGTACGCGTCGACCGGTTGTTTTTCTCTCTGTCCTCTTCAGGCTTCGGGCGTCTGCTTATACAGGGTGGTCCGAACTGTATTCCGGAAACTTCGGCAGCATATTCTGCAGATAAAAATAAGTAAAAAAGTTCCTATAAATGTATGTCCTAAAATGCTTAATTTCGGAGATACAGGGTGTAGAAGTTTCATTTTTATTTCGATTTTTTCCAAATAATTTCTGAAGTAACGTCAATATTTGGATGAAAATTGGTGTCTGGGAGTTTTTTGACATGAGAAATTTGATTTTGATGTCAATATGACTTCTATTAGTAGAGGGCGCCACCTATATATTTTTTAGCTGGTTTGAAGAGTAATAACTTTTCGTCCGTACCTGTATAAAACTACTGAGTAAAAAAATATAAATTCATGACGTTTTTTACGTGAAAAAGATCTCTTGGTAAAAATCGCTACGAGTAATGGTTTTCGAGATATTTAGAATCGAAATTATCAATACCTGTCATCATTGACATAAAATAAACATGCTGACTAAATAGTTATTAGACTGAAATCATAAATTTGAAATGTTTTTTCCCAAATTTATTATTTCAGTTAAATAACTATCTATTGAACGTGTCTATTTTTCGTCAATAATGACATGTGTTGACTATTTCCATTCCAAATATCTTAAGAACGGTTACTCGTAGCGATTTTTACAAAGATATATTTTTTACGTAAAAAGTAACAGAGGTGTATATGATTTTGCTCGGTAGTTTTATACAGGTACGGGGACAAAAGTTATTACGCTTCAAAACAGTTAAAACCTTTGAATAAGAAGACTAAGGAAGGAGCATATCAAAAATCTTAGGTACACCGCGATGGGCCTCAAATATGGCCGACTTAAATTCCGGTTTATCAGTGTCTTTCTAATTTTATTTAAAAAATGTAAAACTATGATGTAGGGTAGACGTGGAGTAGACTCAATAATTTGTTGTTTTATTTTACGTTGTGAATAAATGTTGGTAGTTATTAAAATTGTTATAAAAATATATAATTCTAATAAAAATAGATAAGTTATAATAAGTATTTATTAACACAAACATCCGATACGCTACTGAAGCAGGTAAGTCAAATTAACGTATCTAAATTCTTTGACATCTAATTTTTGACAAGTAATAAATAAAAGCTAAAATGCAAGAAAAATATAAAGTTTAGTTAATTTAAGTGAATTTCATAAATGATCGGTTTACTACAAGTATGTATATTATATAGTCACTTACTAGCGAAAAGTTGTTTCATTATTTCACTCAATTTTTGCCGAGATCTACCGCACGCTACACAACCAACTATTTTAGAGTCTCTTTCGATAAATCGCGATAGTGTCACTGTTAATTTAAGTTCTGCCACAATTTCCATCTAGATTTACTACCTTTATACAACTATCAGTAGTAAAATAAATAATAAATAACATAAAATAAGCTCCGTAAAGACTGACAAATCCACAAAATTTCAAATCAAATTCAAATGTGTCAAATGAATCGTCAAACAGAACTGTCAAGGATCCCCACCTGATTCCCACCCTAGAGAGCTTTTATGGTGCCTTTTCCGCCCACCATGCATGAATACATGGATAGCATTATGCTCCTTCCTTAGTCTTCTTATTCAAAGGTTAAAACACATGTAGGTGGCGCCCTCTACTAGTAGGAGTCATATTGACATCAAAATCAAATTTCTCATGTCAAAAAAATCCCAGACCCCAATTTTCATCCAAATATTGTATTGACGTTATTTCAGAAATTATTTATAAAACATGGAAATAAAAATGAAACTTCTACACCCTGTATCTCCGAAACTAAGCATCTTAGGACACATATTTATACGAACTTTTTGACTTATTTTTATTTGTAGAATATGCCGCTGAAGTTTCCGGAATACAGTTCGGACCACCCTGCATATGAGAGAAACAGACGATCCAGATTTGTCTCGAGAATTCTTAACCGTGTTCTACCAACTTCTATTCGTTTTCAAACGTCGCCGGGCGTATGAGTCATAGCCGAGTGGCCAAGCCTAAGGCCGAGTTCACACGGGTCCACAACAATATTATTATTTTTCTTTCGTTTTTGTAATATGCCATATATACATATACAACCACTAGAACTACGCTACACTACCCGATTTGTCCAACAGTTTACGGTACCTATTTTGTATTTTGTGCCAAAATATTTGAGCGTTAAAAGTATAAACATAGACTCCAACAAGTTTGCGATTATGGTTTGTATAAACCAAATTGCGCAAACATGTTGGCGTGTGAAAGGGAGCCTTTACAGATAACTTGCGCAAATTGGCTTGTGCAAACCAAACTGTACTAATAAATCGTAAAGTGTAAACAGAAATCGTTAGTTTGTACAGTTCAAAAATTCGGCTGGACTTAAATTTGTTGGTTAAGATTTAACCTATGGTTTTTTAGATTATTTAGATAAAAACCTTCAGACACAAATAGCACAAAATAACTGAACGTATAAATAAAAAACTAAGTTTGCGCAAATGTTGTACAGTTTGCGCAAATTATCTGAGAGTCTAAACGGGCCTTAAATTTTATTCTTTGCGTTTGTTCCAAATTTTTCAGGACTAGAAAAACATAATTAAATTGCACATATCTATGAGTTGTCAGTATATTGAGTTTATACAAAAATGTTATAACAAAAAAAGCACATTTAATTTTAACTCATTTCTTCAACTTGACATTGAATGTTTTTCTTAAACTCTTGAATTTTATAAATACTAATCACCATACCCTAGTTGTGTTAAGGACGTTCTCCATTGTTACATTAATACGTCGTCTTAAACTGTGTTTTTTTTGTTGTAGATAGAAAAAATATTTGCAATGAGGTATTGAGACTGAGAAAAGAAAATACAGAATTAAAAAGATTGCTAGCAAATTACCTGGACCACCACGAATTTCTTCCGGCTAGTTGTGCCAAGGAAAGAGAAAATAGTATTCTTCATAAATAAACCATTACACTATTATTTTATTTTATACTTTTATTACACATTTAGAAACAATATAAAGCTATTATTATATTAACACTTATTTTTGATTATTTGTACTTACATAATATATTCCATAAAACAGATATAAAAAAATAAAAACCATTGCACTTACATTTAAAACATTTTCTACCTAATATAGGTTTAGAATTGCATACAAAGTGAAATAAATTAATGACTACAATTAATCGCATCACAGATTAAAATGTGCGGAGATCAACATTAAATGTCTTTTTAGAAGTAGAGAATTTTTAAACATTTATTTACGCCATATAGTTTAAAGAACGAATGTTCAATAGATATATTTTCTTACATCTATGCCTATCAATATTATTAAACAACTTAAAAGTAACTTTCGTTTCGTAGCCTCTTGATGAATACTGGCTCCATGTCTTCATCCTCCTATAACATAAAATCAATTAAAATGGTTTAGGATCAAATAATTTCTCGATTAAAATTGACACTTAAAATCATAGCATATTGTTAATACAGGAAAATAGTTACTATCTAAATAATCTTAGATATGTACTGCAATAAATTAGTCTATTGCAGCAAAATTAATCTATTGCAGCAAAAATAGAGCAAAATAAAAATATCCATAATATACAGCATATCACAATATTGCTCTGCATAATTTTTCTGCATATGGAGCTCCGTTTTTATTTTTATGGGCGCACTACTTCTTATAATAGAACGAGGTCCTGTCAATTCTGTAAATTATTGTCCTCTTGTGATGTCCAGTTATCTTACCAACGATCTGGGCGTCTTGTCTCTGGTTTTTGTGCTTTGGCCCACTTGGCAATTTGATCTGGAATAATCCTGTTTACGTGGTTTCCCCAACAGCGTGTCTTGCTCTTACCCATCTGACAATGTCCTGTACTCCCAACTCTCTTAGCGTGTCTGTGTTTATTAGCGTGTTTATTTTTAGTGTGTAATTATTTCGTCTCTGTTCTCATTTTCTTTGTTGTTTCGGATGTTTCTGCTCTTGTTTCAGCAGCGTAAGTCACTATAGGTCTTATACAGATCTTATAAATTCGGGTCTTACTCTCTGTACTCATACATTTATTTTTCCATATTACATCACGTAAATACCCTGCTATGCTTGAGGCCTTTTTAATCTGATTGTCCATTTCAATCGTTATACTTCTGCTGCTCGATCTTTCTATCCCTAAATAATTGAAACTCATTACCTGATTTAAAATGCGCTCATTTACTACTAGTTTGCACTCATTGGATATTACCATAAATTGTGTTTTTTCGCATGAAATTTGCTGTTAAGACTCTGTGCCGCGATGTTATATTTATAGAGGAGGCGCTGTAGGTCGTCTTCATTTTCAGCAATCAGGATAACAACAGAGTATTCTCAGGCAACGATTGTCCATCTTAAATCCTGCATTAACCACGTTTACACTTTCAATTATTTGGTCCATTAGTATGTTAAAAAGACATGGTCTAAGGCTATTTCCCTGTCTGATACCAGATAAAACTTTGTGTTCTCGTGTTAAGCCACATTCTGTTTGTTTACTTGTTTTATTATTTATATTGAGCTGTTTTACTTACTAAGTTTGTGTGGTACTTGTTGACACCTTTTTGGTTTAATCGAGATAATCGGGCGCATTACATAAAAATTAAATAAAAAGATAAATGTAAATGTATAATAGACTAGAGTAGTGTATAATAGACCCAATAAATTAAAGCATCACATTATTAAGTCAGGTTAATGCTATTTATGTTAATTATAGTCATCTACTTCTCATTACTAGGTTTTACAATGGAGTAAGTTTTGTCTAAACTAAGAATAATTTTGAGATTCTAAAAACATGAAAATTCTGAAATTAGCGGTATAAGTAAAATTTTACAAAATTGACAAAAACTTTTTTAAAAGCAAGGGTCTGCAAGGGCAAGGGTAGCACCTCTGGCACTAATAACATTTTGGCATCGTTGATCCATACTTAAAATAAGCTTCCTTATTTCGTTTTGATTCATATCTTCCCAGATATGGATTAGCTGCTTACTCAATGTTTTCAGATCGTTTGGTTCGTACGGTTCTGCTCTTAACCGCCTTTATTTAACATATCTCACAGGTTTTCAATCGGATTTAACGCCAATGTTGTGCCATTATTAACATATTTATCATATTAAACATAATTTCTTGGTGTTTGATTCACATTTTTTTTATTTTCTTTATTTCTATCACCGTCTTTTATAAAAATGCATATATGTCATGTGTATATTTTTATATCATTTTATTCTTGAATTTTGTTACAATCTATGTCTAATATCATATATTCTCGGTGCGAAATATTTAACAGATTTTTGAGCTTCTGTTTTTATCTTCTATCGTAAACTCTAGAGACTAAGCTATAATATAAGAAAACATATTATCAATTCTGATGATACCGATAAAAAATTTACAACAACGCTGTAAAAAGTTTTTCGTAATTTTTTCTTTAACTAGAAAAATAAAATTAGAAGGGATTCACATCTAGTATGGAATTTCGACACCCATTACAAAATAACTTAAATATTTTTTGGTCCTTTGCCCATTGAACGGTAACACGCAACCGGACAACAAGATTATTTTTAACAACAGAATTTTTATTTCAAAATTCTACATGCTACCTGTATGTATAGAATATCTTTGATAATATTTGATTATTCTTTCGTAAATACATTGAACATATAATATACGAGAACACTGCTAGCAAAAAATACTTACAGCAAAGAATGACGGTGCTCCTATTTCAACAGTATTTTGCGTGCCTCCTTGTTTAGCAGTTAGCCAAAATGTCTCCATTAATCCTTTACCCTAAAATGTACAGTATTAATATATATTTTATTAAAATACTAATACATTGTTTTACTTTGACCTCTACCAAACCCCTTTCTTCAATTTTATATCCTCCAATGGCTTCTAATGCTTTCTTCATTTCTAAGCTTATGTGAATTTTAGAAGCTAGAAATAGATAAAATTATTACTATAGAACTGGTTGCTATATAAAAACAGTAGAAAAAATCTAAACTTAAATTGGATAATTAGAGATAAAAAAAATATGGAGAAATTATGATACCTCGATATATGAAAGAATAATTAACCATTTATAGTTTGCATTGCGCAAGTTGATATTTTTTCAAAAAACTTTTCTTAAAAAACTTTTAATTTATTTGTAATATTGAAGTAAGTATAAGAGTACTTGATAAATATTTGGATGACAAACGGGTTTCTATCAGTTATGTTTGCCTCTATCACGACAATCGGCCAATGCCCAAAATAATGAATAAAATTTTTAGCTGAAAATTGATACATTTATGTAAAATGAAAAAATAACTTTTCAAATAAAGTTTTTCGAAATTTGGCCAGTAAGCCAAAAAACCCGTTAGCCATTTATTACTTTAAATGTCAAATTTGACAGATACTCAAGGGCCACAGAGTTAATATTGTTATGTGATTTTTAATCTAAATCAAAGTAGAGACTATCGCCCGAGTCAAATTTCACCTAACTGTATAAATAAAAAAGTTCCATGTGACATTGTATAAGTACCTTCACCCGTAGATTCCATTCTAGAAGCTGTATTAACTGTATCTCCAAATAAACAGTATCTGGGCATCTTTGAGCCAACGATACCCGCGACTACTGGACCTGTATGAGCACCAGATCTAAAAATGGAATTTTCAATAAAGAATTAAAAACAGAATGTCTATTAATATACCTTATTTGTAATTTCTCCGATTTTCTGTGAGGGATTTTAAAATGCTTCGTTCCCGCGAGCAGGTCTAAAGCCATGCTGGCTATCTCCGATACATGCTTATTGCCTAAAATTCGTAGGTGTTAACATGTCAATATTATTTAAGTTTTGTATGGCACAAAATGATTTTTTCTTTTTTAAATTGGTATTTGAGTTCAGTAAGGTTAATTTTTATAAGTTGGTACAGACAATTACCGTTTTTCACTGGCAACCCAGATGCTACCATATACGAGTCACCAATCGTTTCTACTTTGTAAACATCATAACATTCGATTTTGGCATCAAACTGTTTATATATTTTGTTTAAGAATGTAACTACCTGAAATAAATTATTCAAATAAGTAAATAGCATAGAGCCTCATGCAGAACCTCGAAATTAGTGGTTTCAGTTAGCGTAGAAGTTTGTTCCTTTAATTTCAATGTGAGCATTCAGAACGTCAAAATTAGTGGTAGACATGTTCAATTAGTAGAAAAAGTTATGAAAATTTTGACTTTTCCACGAATTATACTTCAAAATTTGCGAGAAATATCCTTTTGGTCTCTGATCATCTTCCGTCAAGAGAAATTGTGGTTAGAAATCAAAAGTTGATTGTTTTATAAGCTAAATATTAGGCTTTCTCTATGGATACAACTGACTAACGCAAGCTGTTGCTAGGATATTCTATTAATTTTAATTTTTTATTAAAGTAAATATAAATAAAGGTTAAGTATTTTTTAAACATTGTGAATGATCGTAAACTAAAAATTATAAAGTGTAATTGAAACCACTAATTTATTCCACTAATTGCAAGGTTCTGAATGAAGCTTAAGTATTCAGAACGTCAAAATTAGTGGTAGTAATTTTCAATTTGTAGACAAAGTTAGAGCTTCATTAAAAAACTCAAAATTAGTGGAATAAATTAGTGGTTTCAATTAGCGTAGAAGTTTGTTCCTTTAATTTTAATGTAATTATTCAGAACGTCAAAATTAGTGGGGGTAATTTTCAATTAGTAGAAAAAGATAGAGCTTCATTCAGTAAACCTAACTGCTGACAAGTAGTTACCGTTGGATTAATGCAGCAGTGTTTACAAAAAAATAACTATTTTATTTTGTAGATTTTCTTGCAGTGGCAAAATACCCATATAGGATTTTTTTGGAGAGATAAATCCGCCACATAAGCTTAGACATTTTTTACTTCATTCATAACCTCGAAATTAGAGGAATAAATTAGTAGTTTGAACTAGCGTAGAAGTTTGTTCCTTTAATTTCAATGTAAGTATTCAGAACGTCAAAATTAGTGGAGGCAATTTTCAATTAGTAGAAAAAGTTAGAGCTTCATTCAAAACCTCGAAATTAATGGATAAATTAGTGGTTTCAATTAGCGTAGAAGTTTGTTCCTTTAATTTCATTGTAAGTATTCAGAACGTCAAAATTAGTGGTAGTAATTTTTAGTTAGTAGAAAAAGTTAGAGCAGTCTGTCTGCGTCAGAGAGACTGATAGGTATTTCTAGAAGATTTCTGATATTATAAGTTCTACTTCAAATTATTAAGTAATATTAGTATACACAACTTCTCTACATATAAAGTACAGATATTTAGACATATACAATCAATATAATAAATATTAATTGGCAACACATTATGTCTTATTCGAATTTAATCTGAATATTCTTCATATATTTAATGTAAAACTGAATCTTTGCCTACCTCTAAAGGAGTACTTTTAGCAGCAATTTCTGTAAATCCCACAATATCACTAAAATATACTGTAACCGATGCATAATATTCTGCAGGAACCTAAAACAAATAAATGTTAATTAAATTTGGCAAAGATGTACCCATTTTAAATTAATCTAATAAGTTTCTATTTTATTTATGGATTCATACAATCGTCCTAAATAAACTTTTGAGGGTTGGAACCTATGGTGTTACACAGCAAAATCAAACACTAAATCACCACAAAACACCAAATCACTTTTACTTTTACACTGGACGCGCGTTTCGCTAACCATGTTAGCATCATCAGCAGATGATTATAAACTTGCTAGTTTATAATCATCTGCATGATCATGAAATTATATTGTCACTTACTTGTCTAGTTTGTTTTAATTGTGTTGCTACACTTGGAGGAAGCATTTGGAAAAGTAACAGATCACTTTTCTTTTTTTCTCGTTTAAGTTCTTTTGCTTTTTTGGATAAGTTTCCTGCATAGACCTAAAAAATTCACAGAATTTTTTTAAGGATAACATAATTTATTCTTTGATTAACCTGTATTGTGGCAACTGCATTGTGAACTAACCAAATAATAACTGGAGAAACAGCTAGCACCACTATGAGCAGTGCAATGCCTATTGCTTCTTGGTGTGCGGCAACGTATAAATTTTCGCTTACATTTTCTCTAAAAATATGCGGTAAAAAATTATAATGAATTAAGTAGATGGGATACATTAAATTCTGTCAGCTAGATTTTTCAATGATTGAGTTAGCTACATTGATAATATTTTTTCAATGCTGATTATTTTAATCTACAACCTAAATTTTTAAAAAAATTCCAAATTTTCAAGAGATCGAAATATACTACCCGTAAAATATTTGCACTTACTTAAGACCCACACTGTATAGATCAGAAGTCTCAAATTCAACATAAAAAAATTGAATGTTTAGAAATTAATAACAGGAAACATACAAGGAGGGGCGTATTACTCAATAATTTATAACTCTTGACTATTGTACTCTGCAATTTTTGTCTTTTCTGATTATAGTTTTTATTTTAAGTCTTTTTGAAAAATTTTCTTAATATTTAGATATTAAATTTTAAGAAGTGTAGAGTATATTAGTATGCAAATACTAAAATACTGTGATATTGTGATGTGACAATTGTTATACAGGACATTATAGTGTTTTTTTACGAATTTAAGTTGTTCTTTTTATCACCCTGACTTCATAATAAATAAATATATAATGAAATATAATTTTGTCAACAGCTCAAGCTCAAGTCTGTTTTTGAACTAATTTGAACTAATAAAAGTAAAGGTAATTTAATTTCTTTACTTACCCAATCGTCATTCTCAATGATCTTTGCAGTTTTCTCAGCTCATCCGTATACAGAGCAATCGACTCAAAATAGTTTAAGGCTTCTGTATAATTAGGGTGTCTTTTCTCGTTCTTCATAATGACTTCGTGTCTAAAAATATAATCTTTTATTTTAATATACAGAGCCCGGCAATAGTGCATCGGGCAACTGTAGCTCCTAGAATAAAAAACTTGGAAATTCTGTTTAAGTGCAAACCTTAAGTATGTACTAGGATGTAATTCGGGAAAATATTTTAACTTCTATAGGGTGGCTCAAAAAAATATGAGTGGATCGGGATAATTTTTTTAAGTAGAACATCCTGTATATTATTTCATTTTTGGCTTCCTTTCAAATCACTTTACATAATCCTAAGATATGAGTAAATATATTTCAATAGTTTCAGAGATATTAATAAATAAATAAAAAAATATGTTTTTGAGCCTTTCTTAAAAAAAAAATGATTAAAAATACAACTGATAGATGGTCTAACAACAACTGTTCTTTTAGATGGTCTCGTACAGGATATTCAAAATTCTACGCCTAACTTTCTAAAATATAAAGTTTTTTTTAAATGGAAAACTTGGTTATTATTTTTTCAATTGATGGAGAATTAAAAAAGTGAACATTTTTTTGTATTTAGAGTATTTCAACATTTTTAACGGTTTTGCAGATATTCGCGGTTTCATATTTCATATGGCATTTTCCACAATAAATTTTTGTCAAAGCCACGACCCACTGATTTTTTTCCCGCATTTTACAGTTGAAAAAGCCATATGAAATGCAACCATTCAAAATTTTGAAATACATTAAACACTAAAAAATGTTAATTTTTTTAACTCTAGATCTAATAAAAAGATAATATAAAGGGTGTTCCATTTCAAAAACAAAGAAAAATTATTTTATATTTTAAAAAATTTTGGAAGAAAATTTTGAACACCTTGTATGATCTAAGATTACAATATTTATAGCAAAGTAGGTATAAACCATATAAAGTAAATACTATATATAAATATAGGTTTGGTTTTAGGGCAGTTCTTGTATTGGTAATAATTTCTTAAGGAAGGTTGATAAAGAAATATTAATAAATATTAATATCTCTGAAATTATCAAAATATATTTACTCATATCTTAGGATTATGTAAAGTGATTTAAAAAGGAGCCGAAAATGCAATAATATACAGGGTGTTTCATTTTAAAAAAATCATCTCGAGTCACTCATTATAGGAGTTGAAATATTTTCCTGAAATACATCCTCGCATACTTTAGGTTTGCACTTAGACAAAATTCTCAAGTTTTTTATTCTAGGAGCTACAGTTGCCCGACGCACTATTGCCTAACCCTGTACATTCACAAAATAAATTATAATAATAAATCTTTGAATAAGAAGACTAAAGAAGGAGCATAATGCTATTCATGTATTCATGCATGGTGGGCGGAAAAAGCACTCTCGGGTGGGGATCCTTGACAGTTCTGTTTGACGATTCATTTGACACATTTGAATTTGATTTGAAATTTTGTGGATTTGTCAGTCTTTACGGAGCTTATTTTATGTTATTTATTATTTATTCTACTACTGATAGTTGTATAAAGGTAGTAAATCTAGATGGAAATTGTGGCAGAACTTAAATTAACAGTGACACTATCGCGATTTATCGAAAAAGACTCTAAAATAGTTGGTTGTGTAGCGTGCGATAGATCTCGGCAAAAATTGAGTGAAATAATGGGAACAACTTTTCGCTAGTAAGTGATTATATAATATACATACGTGTAGTAAACCGATCATTTATGAAATTCACTTAAATTAACTAAATTATATATTTTTCTATATATATATATAGCTTTTATTTATTACTTGTCAAAGATTAGATGTCAAAGAATTTAGATACGTTAATTTGACTTACCTGCTTCAGTAGCGTATCGGATGTTTGTGTTAATAAATACTTATTATAACTTATCTATTTTTATTAGAATTATATATTTTTATAACAATTTTAATAACTACCAACATTTATTCACAACGTAAAATAAAACAACAAATTATTGAGTCTACCCCACGTCTACCCTACATCATAATTTTACATTTTTTAAATAAAATTAGAACGACACTGATAAACCGGAATTTAAGTAGGCCATATTTGAGGCCCATCGCGGTGTACCTAAGATTTTTGATATACTCCTTCCTTAGTCTTCTTATTCAAAGTAATAAATACATACGTTATTCGGATATTTCCATAGTTATTCATAGTATGTGCCAGAACTTTGTATTCCTCCTTTAATTTAGCCACGTAATTCAGGGAAGTATTTAATAAGTCCTTAGCTATGGAGTCGTGTTGAATGTAGCTAATGTAATTTTGCGATTTCAGATATCCTTTTCCAAAGTAGTTTACCCCATAAACGCTGGCTATGCCGGTACTTTCGATACTCTTCAATAAATTTTTGAAAGCCAACAGATATCTATGATAAAAGGAATCTACCGGGTAGGTGACACTATTGGAGCAAGCATACATGTATTTTTAAGTGTATGTAGAATGGTTTACATACATTTGTAGTACAAAAAAACATTTTGTTACAAATACAAGGTTGTTCAAGCTATTTGACACGGGGGTGTTGTAGCCATATGATTTTTGGAGGACTACAAGAGCTACAATTTAAAACTATTTTAAAAAGGTACAGAGGGTCCCAAATAAATAAAAAATATCATAGTTGTATTTTTTAAATGGAACACCTTACATTTCTGGTTTTTACGATTAAAAAATGGTAAATTATTTAATGTTTAATGAATGTGTATTAGACAATGTGGTAAAAAGTAACACATTCTAAGTTTTACCTAATTTTTTGATGATTGCTTATTTATAACAACAGAGACGTTCACATTCATAACTTATTAATATTCATATATTGATTTCTGATTTAAATCCACATTTATTTAGAATAATTTATTAACTAGCACAATTAAGCACGTAATTAATTAATATTTGGGCGGAAATAATGGTGGTATTTAATTGGTGTATTCTTTAACAAAGATTGAAATAGTTTTTTTTAATAAATGGGCTCGGAATATTATCGTGTTTAGCATCTGTTTATTTTGTACATATGTTGCTTTAAAAAAAATCTAAAATGTCAATATTCCATGGGTATATTGGTAAATGAGCTCTAAATTATAAGAAAATGCATTTTCAACACTAGTAGAGATAGGTAAAAAAAGATATAATACAGTTTGATAGAGAATTAAATTGTGCATCTGATTCACGTAAAATGTACAGGGAGTTCCGTTTAAATTTAACAAGTTATTATCGTTTAAAGCTAGTAATTATTTAAAATACATTTTTAGTCATTCTGTATAATGCAGTATTATTTTATTATTGCAACACAAAATTTAGTAAATGGAAAAACTTCAGTACAATATTTGGTTTTCAAAACTTACTGCATTTTCAAAAAACATCATAAATATTTCAAAAACGGTAAGATTAAAGTGCGGTAAACATTAATCAAATTTACCTTTATTTTATTCGTAGAAACTAAAAATGTAATAATATTCAGGGTATATATAATATATGTATATAATATATATAATATATAGCTTCCATTAAAAGAACAACTTTTATATTTTTATTTATTTGGGATACTCTGTACCTTTTGAAAATAATTTTAAATTGTAGCTTTAGTAGTCCTCCAACTATCCTAATAATTTCCATAAATGTAATCTTTTGGCTACAATACTCAGTGTCGAATAGCATGAACAACCCTGTATAGTGGTTTAAAAATAACTTATTAGATTCTATGCAACTTGACGCCATTTTTATTTTTGATCATACGTAGAAATTATGCTAATATTCAGTGCCATTCTGTTATTTGTTTTATTTCAAAAATCTTACTTTTTTTAAATTAAATTTTCTTATGATGTCCTCTGAATAGTACATTATTTTAAATATACGCGTTTCATTTAATTAGAACTTATAATATATTTACCTCCATACCCCACTGGTATTTGTTTCCTTAATATGAGTGGTTAAGTGATCCAACATGGCGGCATTTACAGTTGTATACCAAGTAAGTACTTGTTCCACAGTTGTATCCTCTTCTAATAATATTGTAGTATTCCTATTAATCAATAACTAGTAACTATATAGAACAGTTTAAGTTAAACTAACAGTTAACATAGTTATGTTCCAACTATAACAAAACCAAAGATGATTTAAAGAAGTTGAAATTATATGACTTAAATTAAAAAAATATATTAACAGTTTTTAGAATAGAAAAAGAACTTTAATTAATATATTAAATGTCGTTGACTCTCTTTTCTATTAATAAATTCAAACTAAGCATAGTGAAGAAGAAGAACATTATTTTAAACTCATTAAAAACTATTAATAAATTTATATAAAAGTGTAATTAGTAGGTAAATAACTCAGTTTTATCATTCTTTTTACATTTTTTTGTTTCATTATTTTACAATTTTACAAGTTAAAGAAGAAATGTGTTTAATGATTTACATTTTTCTTTATTATTTTATAACTTATTTTCTGCCATCCAGTATTACGGTTTATTATAGTTAATAGACTTAAAAGAAGGATATTTAGTGTATTGTAAATAATCATTCTCAAACTGCTATTGTTCTAAGTATAATTAATGATATATACGTTGTGCTGTGTCTAATTATATAACTGGTACATACCTAAAAGTGGTAAGATTTTGCAAGAAGGTTGCTTTGTCTAAATATATTGTTTTGCTGTCCTTGAATTGTAATTGTAGCTTAGGCCAAAAACTCATATTACCTATGGCTTCGTTCGTTAATTGAAATCTTTTGCCCAAATTATCCAACTTAAATCTTGTGTCTATATTAGATCTAAAATAGAGATATGTAGTTTCATATATTCTATTTAATAATTTCACTTAATATATAGGGATGACATATTTCATATATTTAATAGAAAATATGTTTTTCTATAATTCTAAACTAGAGTTGATATTTGAAACAAGTAGCTTAATCAAAAAATAACAAAATCAAAAATATTCCTTTCTAAAAATAAATTCATATCAAAGAATTAAATATTATTGTTTGTGTTATAAATTTATACTTAAAAAGAGATCAATAAGAGAATTTTGATCATTTATATAGAGGTGGGGTATATCTATACCAATTTTCTTGGTATATATATATTTTTGATCAAACTGTTTATAATCTTATCCAAATAATATAATAACAGAGTTTTCTGTTGTCTCTGTGATAGACAATGTTGGTAAATGCGAACTATTTTTCACGAACAATATCAAAATTTAGCTTTTTTCAATCGCATTTAAGGCACTGCATGTTGTGAAAAATGTTGTTTTATAGGTCTGTTTTAAATTTAAAATTGAATCATTTCTGTAGTGTGTGACTGCGTGGCACAAAAATTATTTTTCTTTGGTTTGCTTACACGGATAGTTTTCATCCGTATACAGTGTTTGAAATCAGTGATAAACTGCATAAAATAAACCTCAAATGCCCGAAATTTGTGTTTCACAATTTTGTTAATACAATTTTATACCTTTTCATTGAGGTAAGTGGTAAAAGTGCAATCATGGTTCCAAATAAACTTTTTAAAGTTTGTTTTTGTTTTAGAATAAAATGAATTAAAGAAATTATTTTATTAGCACTGTGCTGTTAACTAATATTAATTATGTGTCTTGTAAATGTTTATTGTCAGATAAAACGAAGATATATATCATTTGTCATTAAACACATAAAAGAAAAGAGTAATTGATTTTTGATACCCATACAGAGCAAATAATCTTTATATTCTTTTCTCACATTCGTCGGAATCTAAAAATAACAATGAAAACATGTATCGCAATAATTATTCTTTGAGAAGTGGCAATTAATCATGCCCTGTTTTACGCCTTCTAAGGTTTTAACATTTTTTCCCTAAAATTTATAATAAAAGTGTCATGCGTAAAATATTATTTATATAAGAAAATACCAGAACAACATCAATATAGTTTTATAAAATTAAATATTACATTTATTAATTATAGTACTTACAACTTTTTGCAAGAGAAAAGAATATTAGTTATAATTGGTGTATATCTCATGATTTTTATTATTTTATATTCTCAAAAATATGTTTTAAAAGAAAACATTAAAATCCAGTTCTATATTACCAAAGCTGTTCGCTGATGACATAGTCTTAATTGCCAATTAGTCTTGAAGAACTATAAACACAAATTAACGAACTAAATACAGGCAGCAATAATGTGGGTCTCAAAATGAATTTAGCAAAAGCCTCAATAATGTACAACAAACTAGCGCAAAGAAGAGACATTCTAATAACACAAAATTAGAAATAGTAGAAGAATACATATATTAGAGACAACCAATACACAGCTCGGAATCTCTACTACCATAAATCAACCGAAGAATTAAGTTAGCATGGAGTGCTTATGGAAGAAATTCATATTCATATTCAAATCTAGAGTGCTACTTTATCTAAAGAAGAAAACATTCGACCAATGTGTACTTTCAGTAATGACCTATGCATGCGAAACCTGGACACTTGAAACGGATATTATAAGGAAACTGCAACGTTTATTCAAATATGCTTGGAATAACTAAGAAAGACCGTAAAAGAATAGAGTGGATATGACAAATCACCCAGGTAATAGATATCATTCACAGAATCAAATCCCTCAAGTGGCAATGGACAAGACACCTGGCAAGACGAACGGACAACAGATGGACCACAAAAATTACAGCATGGTACCTACGAGGAATTAGGAGACCTAAATGAAGACCATAGTTGAGATGGGGCCATGATATTAGGAAATTAGCAGGGATAATTTGAGCCCGCATAGCTAACAATAGACAATCAATGGGCCCATCTACAAAGAGAGTATCTAAATATGTGACAGAGGCTACACCATAATTGAAAATGGTTGAATAACTTGAGGGTATAAAAGATCGAATAATGCAAGGCAGAAGGGCATAAAAACAAAACAAATCATATGGTTTGGTCATGTGCAACGAATGCCCGATCACAGAATATCAAAACAAATTTTACTGTGGACACCTCGAGGCAGAAATAAAAGAGGAATGCCGCGACGAAGCTGGAGGGAGGGTGTGGATAAAGAACTAGAAAATAAAGAAATACCTGATGATCTCTGGCTAAATAGACAAGAGTGGAGATTAGGTGTCGGAAAACGTCGTAGAACGTTCTGAACCGACTTAATTCAATTTTAGGTGAGCAACGCAAAATTGATCAACGCCTTTTATTTATTGATATAATTAAATTGATTTCATTGTCAAAAGAAAAAATATATATGGATCATAAAAGCAAAATGGCAAATAATTATAAAAAAGGTTAAAATAAAAAACGAAATCACAAAGTAAATTAATTATTTTTTCTTACTTGTAGTAGGCTCCATACGTGTAGACGAAAAAAGCTACTTCTGATCGTTCCAGTTGCATTCTAGTCACCACTTTTCCTAACTCTGTTGCAAACGTAACCTTTGAAAAACAAAGTAGTAAGTTATATGTCTTTAAACTATACCTATTAATAATATTTTTAGGTTAGGTTTGAACACGCGCTGAACAAAAAATGTGATTAGAAATGAAATTTTGTGTGCTTTGTACGAAGTGTGTGCTTTGTGCAACTGTGCTTTGTACGAAGACAGATAAACAATTCTTATATAAAATTTTATTAGAATAATTTTTAATATTGAACCTACTCATTTGTGCTGGTTATATGTTTAAATATAATAATCTCTTTTGTAAATGTCAAATTTTATTTACAAAACGTTAGACTCTTGCGTGTTTGTAACAAGTTTTAAATTACAAAAATGCATTCTGGGCACTAACTGTAGGTAATATAACTTAGTAGCGTAAACGGCATCACAAACTGACAAAATTATAGGTTGAGGACTTAAGGTATGTTGACATTTGTCTGGTTTTGAATTATTACCTGTTAAGTTTTAATTTAAAGATAGATGCAGTTTTCCTTAAATTAATTAAAGTTGGGTTTTCCAAAATGGTTCAACATTGGCAAGTGTATCCAGCATACGCAGATCTTTAAAAAAACTATTTACAAATTTGCAGTAAAATCAACATGGGAGTTTGGGTAGTTGAAGATTTACATGGGATTTCCTATGTTCTCTCTTCTATATATTATATCTTTTTAATACTTTAAATTATAATTTATTAAATTTTAACGTCATAACAATATTAAGAGGAAACACCATATTACTACATTTTATCATATATATTATACTTGAGATAAACTACAATATAATAAAAAAAGATTTTTAGATCATACGGTAGAAAATTTTTAAAATAAGAAATAGTGATAAACATCAAATTTAAGACAAACACTTTATTAAAATAATGTAAATCTAAAAAAAATATTCAAATACTTTTTGTTGTTCCCAATAAATTTAAATGAAAACCAATAATGCCGGTACATGTCCATACATTTTAATTTGTTATTTGCGCATAGTAATTAACTTAACAAATGACTGTCGGACCAGAAAGTGTACTAAAAGGGGTGCACCGCGCTCCCAACCCTGTGTCAATACGTAATTAATGGAATTTTTTTAAGATGGCTAAAGAAATGAGCGTCCTATGCTATTGGATTATCAGTTTAGGTATGCAATAATTTTGTAGCATTAAGTGTGTTTCTTTTTAGTTTTAAGTTGTATTTGATATTTGTTTTTATTTTTATAAAGTAAATAATGAAGTGTGAATCTTACAGTATTATGAATACTGTGTTAGAACTAATTATTATTATTAAGTAAAAATTATTTATACTGGTTAAAAATATTAATATTTAAACATAGTCAGTAATATTTAGTTAATAATTTTTTACTATACGTAGTTTATAGATTAAAAAACCGCTTAGGGAAATTATTATTTCTTGCTATGGATAATCTATACTGTTTTGCAATAATTCTGTACTAAACTTTTAAATATGATAATCTTATATTTGTTTAACTATTTTTAAATTTGATTAAAGAAGTGACCCTCAGGTCCTATAGAATTATGAAACGATAGTATAATTTTATATTGAAATTTAAAATATAATTTTAGTTCAGATATACAATAATTTTATTGTTTAAATATGTTTGTTTTTAGTTTTAAGATGTTATTTGATATTTTAATTACTTATTTTTCTAAGTTAAATAAAGAAGTGTAAATCGTATCCTACGATATTATGGATACTGTGTCAGAATTTAAGGTAATTTTATTATTACGAAAAATTTATAGTGGTTAAACATATAAGTACATATACTTATTTAATATTTTTTACCATACGTAATTTATAGATTTAAAAATTGGTAGGGAAATTATTTTTTGCTCCTAGATTATCAATACTGTTTTGCAGTAATTCTGCATTAAACGTTTAAATATGATATGTGATGATTTTGAGATACCTTATTGTTTTGCTCCTTATTGTCTGAATGCTTACATTAAAATTAGGTGAACAAACTTCTACGGCTAATTGAAACTACTAATTTATTCCACTGATTTCGAGGTTCTGAATGAAGCTTAACACATGAAATTTAGAATTTCCCATGAATATCTTTGAATAAGAAGACTAAGGAAGGAGCATATCAAAAATCTTAGGTACACCGCGATGGGCCTCAAATATGGCCGCCTTAAATTCCGGTTTATCAGTGTCGTTCTAATTTTATTTAAAAAATGTAAAACTATGATGTAGGGTAGACGTGGGGTAGACTCAATAATTTGTTGTTTTATTTTACGTTGTGAATAAATGTTGGTAGTTATTAAAATTGTTATAAAAATATATAATTCTAATAAAAATAGATAAGTTATAATAAGTATTTATTAACACAAACATCCGATACGCTACTGAAGCAGGTAAGTGAAATTAACGTATCTAAATTCTTTGACATCTAATCTTTGACAAGTAATAAATAAAAGCTAAAATGCAAGAAAAATATATAATTTAGTTAATTTAAGTGAATTTCATAAATGATAGGTTTACTACACGTATGTATATTATATAGTCACTTACTAGCGAAAAGTTGTTTCATTATTTCACTCAATTTTTGCCGAGCACGCTACACAACCAACTATTTTAGAGTATTTTTCGATAAATCGCGATAGTGTCACTGTTAATTTAAGTTCTGCTACAATTTTCACCTAGATTTATTACCTTTATACAACTATCAGTAGTAGAATAAGTAATAAATAACATAAAATAAGCTCCATAAAGACTGACAAATCCACAAAATTTCAAATCAAATTCAAATGTGTCAAATGAATCGTCAAACAGAACTGTCAAGGATCCCCACCTGATCCCCACCCTAGAGAGCTTTTATGGTGCCTTTTCCGCCCACCATGCTTGAATACATGGATAGCATTCTGCTCCTTCCTTAGTCTTCTTATTCAAAGATGAATATGGTGTTGTGGGTTAAAATTTCCCTTTTTCCTTTGGATATCGAGAAATTTCCTACGAGTTGGCATTACTGCTCATAAGTATAAAGTATAATTGAAATCGCTAATGTATTCTACTAATTTCTAGGTTATTAATTAAGGTTTAATTGTTTAAATTATCTTAATTTTATTATTTACAACAAAGAAGTAACATAAAACTTCTAATTTACTTTATTTTTTATTGAAACAAAAATCTATAGAAATCCATCTAATAGAAAAACATTACTATGACCCAATAACACAATATCAATAAGCATTAAGGTTTAAAGGTTCAAATTAACACTTTTACTATTAGTATGTCACAAAAGAACTGTTTGGTTCCGATAGAAATGGTCGTTAAAAGTGTAACTTGGGGGAAATTAATTTCTCAAACGACCCTATCGGAAAATAGTGTGTTAATGAAGGATTGGAAATACACACCCTGTGTGTCAATATGCCGAGGGTAGCCACCACCAGCCGAGTCTTTATTGTCGCTATCGAGTTAACAGAAAAACAATTCAACGGTTGTTAATTTTATTAGGTTGTTAATTAATGTAGGGCTGTAATTAGGGTAGGAGAGACACTTTTGGCTTCGGAGATGACTTGAGAATTTCGTGTAGTACAATAATTAAAGATAAATATTAACAAGTAGGTGTCATCAGCAGGTAAAGATTAGACTATTTTGGAATCGATTCATATTTTAGTTAAATAAAATATTTTTTTTCAAACGTCACAAAAGTAATAATTTTTGCGACGTGATTAACAATATAATTTATATAAAATTAAAGCACTTTTACGCCTATGCCACAAAAGTACGAGAATATTTGCCTCTGATATTATCAAACTGATATAAAGTGTCAAATTCAATGGGCGTAACCATCGTTTCTCGATATACAAGGTGGTCCGAACTGTATTCCGGAAACTTCGGCAACATATTCTCCAGATAAAAATAAGTAAAAAAGTTCGTATAAATGTATGTTCTAAAATGCTTAGTTTCGGAGATACAGGGTGTAGAAGTTTCATTTTTATTTCGATTTTTTCCAAATAATTTCTGAAGTAACGTCAATATTGGGATGAAAATTGATGTCTAGGAGTTTTTTGACATGAGAAATTTGATTTTGATGTCAATATGATTCCTACTGGTAGCGAGCCCCACCTACATCTGTTTTGAAGCGTAATAACTTTTTGTCCGTACCTGTATAAAATTACCGAGGAAAAAAATATACATTTCTGTGACTTTTTACGTAAGAAAATATCTCTTTGTAAAAATCGCTACGAGCAACCGTTCTCAAGATATTTAGAACGGAAATAAATGTCTATTATTGACGAAAAATAAACACGTTGAGTAGATAGTTATTTTACTGAAATAATCAATTTGGGAAATTGTTATTTTTTTAAATTATAAATTTTTCTGCAAAAAAATGATGATAAAACAGTTTCTGTTGAACTTTTGGCACAAAAACATTTGAAATTTATGGTCTCAGTCTATTAATTATTTAGTCAACATGTTTAATTTCTGTCAATGATGACAGATATTGATAATTTCGAGAAGAGATCTTTTTTAGGTAAAAAACGTCGTAAATGTATATTTTTTACTCAGTAGTTTTATACAGGCACGGACGAAAAGTTATTACTCTTCAAACCAGTTAAAATATGTAGGTGGCGCCCTCTACTAGTAGGAGTCATATTGACATCAACATCAAATTTCTCATGTCAAAAAACTGCTAGACACCAATTTTCATCCAAATATTAACGTTACTGCAGATATTATTTGGAAAAAATTGAAATAAAAATGAAACTTCTACACCCTATATCTCCGAAACTAAGCATTTTAGGACATACATTTATACAAACTTTTTTACTTATTTTTATCTGCAGAATATATTGCCGAAGTTTTCGGAATACAGTTCGGGCCACCCTGTATAATTACTTACAAGGTATTACTTTTAAATCATTTCATATTATTTCGAACTTTGAAATTGTTTAAAAATTATTTGTGGTCGTTTAGTGACATTTCCCATATAATTTTATATATAAAATGACAGCGATCTCCATTTTATAGCTATCGCTGACGC